TTTAGACCAGGTCGAGATACAACGAAGTTGATTCCAGATAAATTGCTTAAGATTAGATGTCTTTATCCAACTGAAGGAGAAAGTGCCACAGCTTCGCAATATGAGTACTTTTATTGGCGTTTATATATATATATATATATATATATAGTTAGCCAAAATTGTGTCTACAAATCACAAATCAAACCCTTTTAGAAAATAGCATTTTCAGGTTTCTTTAAAGTCGATAGTACCCTTTGCGGTAGAATAAGTGTCGCCCAAAACGTTACGGTTCGGCCGTATCGTCCGTTCTCTAGTTAAAAGCATATACTGCTGCACTAAGCCCTTGACGATAGATTTCGCCTCACAAAAATCTTCAACGTCCTTCAGTTTTACGTGTCTCGATGTGCGAAGCGCATGGCACAGTGTACCGTAACAAACCCTGAGAAAAAAATGTTCATGTAAAATCTATTTATCAATATTAATTACCCATTTGGTTAGAACCTGAACGCTTATATGGCTTACCCTTGAATTGATCGCGACCCGTTGTGTCCCGGCCTACACGGCTGAAGAATGAAACAAGATACCGTGGAGGCACTAATAGAAAACGTGGCCAGGAATGACATTTTATCAGGAAAGCTGGCTTGCCTTCTAACATGCACTACTATAGATGAGTAAACGGTGTGATATTCGATGTCGGATGAATCTTATCATTGCTGCTGGTGCTCACACTACAACAAATACTTTTCCACCTTCCCTATTGTCCTGTTTGCCCATCCCCACGATCCTCAATCTCTAACGGCCCGTTTTCTTATCTTGCATTGGGCCCACTGGCGGCCGACGATTGGCAGCCTGGTCAGCTTAGGTTGCTGCTCACTGGGTGGCAAACGTACAGAAGTGGGTCATACAATAAGTTCCCATTTAAAACCGATAATATCGCCCTGCGAACGACGATTGGAGGACAAGCACTAGCTTCTGGCCGAATATTGTCCGTAAGCAGCCGGTGGTGTCGACACGAGTCTGTAAATAGCGGCAAGACGTCTGCGGCTTTGTGCAGAATGTTCCGTTGCTTTATTTTTCTCGTTTTTCCCATTTGCCCGTTGCATCCATTGCGCCGAGTGCAATGGGAGAAGTTTCATGGACGACTTCGTGGCCACTCTCTGCTGGAGGGCTAGTTACACAGCCACTGAGTTAGTCAGGCAATTTCTTACGTTTCGAAGATCGTTCCTTCAGTTCTTACATGTATCCCCGAAAAGCTCAGCCAGATCTCGATTAGGTTGACGAGACGAAACAACGACTTAGCAGTCGAATCTATTCATTGAATACACTGTCTCCTACTTAATCTAGTTATTAGAATAGGGACCTATGGGAGTTGTGCATATAAATTCGTTTTTAAACCTGAATACAATCAAGCAAATGCTACACAATATGGTCAAAACTTCGACAACAGCCAAATTCACAGTCAGCCTTTTTCGTTCCACATCTCCTTTGTCCTTTGAGTTTGCTTTTTGCCCCAACTGACTTTAGCAAGTATAATTATTGAGATATTCTTCTGCCGTAACGGGTTCAATATTCGTTACTGCCAAAAACAACTCTACCCGGTGCCATCCAGCGGCCCTATACCTGCTGGATACTGAACGTCCCCACGGCAACAGCCTGCTCGAAGTACTATCAGCAGAAAGATTCCCTTCTAAAAGCCTCTCTGCTAGCGGCTTCCTCGGTTATTCAGTAACAATCGTTTGGTGTGCTTTAGTGGCGGTTCTGGGTAGAATGGGAAGTCGGAGGTTAGAAACACTTTCGGCTAAAATTAAAGAAGAGACACGACGAGCTGAACCAACCCAGCAAGGCTGTTATATGGCCTTAACACTATTTCACTTTTCTTGCGTCCAGCGCCATTGAAGGATTGTGTGTGAAGAATGATCGGATTAGTTTGAGTACCACGATGTTCCGAGGAGAGTAAACGAGAAATGCATAGAGCTATACCCCTGGGCTGTTGTCGCCGTACCAGGCAATGTGTGCCTTTAAATAAAGAGCGCCAACGAGTGTTGCGAGACCCGTAGTGAACTCACATTTTAGAGTAATCCACGCTTCTTTGTCGGCTTGTCTTTTTGGATCCATGGAGACCTCATAGACTAGATTAGTTCTATGTATCTAAGGATACTATGCGTCGATATGTTGTGTATATCTTTCTGAGTCTTAATTTAAAGATCCTATTGTTATCCCTGTAATTTCAGTTCTTCTTTCGTTCGATAGGTACTTGCGAAAATTTAATTTTTAAAGTTTAATTTCTTCGCAATGGCTATGTATACTAATAATGAATTTTTCCAAATCAATAGCTAACATTTGATTTGGGCCATTTTACAAATTTACAACGCCAGTTTACAACGGGTTTACGGTAAATTGCGATAATAAAATACCGTAGAAATAAGGAACACCGCAGTATTCAGTCGCAAAACAATCAACGTAAAAACTTAAATAGAGAAATAAAAGAGGACCAGATGATGATTCCGAAGCAGTAGCTGGCAGCCGATGCCAACAGAAAGCTGGAAGCGACGCGTAACATCAGCCATAGAGGAAGCCCAAAAAAGCGGACGTGAGAAAGCGCGGTCAATTTAAATGGTCGCTTCTTGCCGTTGCTTCCCTGCAGGCCGCTGGACCATTCACATTACATTTTCTCCGACCATTTGCGCATTGCGCATTTCGACTTAATCCCATGTTTTTCAACAGAAAGTAGTGTTTTTACTTTTGAGGCTGTGGAACACGTCGACGTGCTTGAGAGTCTACAGAATAATAAGTATAATAAGAGTAATGAAGATGAGATACTGCTTTTTACAGCTCCAGCTGAAACTCTTTAATGAAAGATCATTAAAGTTGAGTTGTAAAAACGTCTAAATCAAAGCGCATAAAACTTTAATGAATGGAAACTTGTCAAATGGTGTGGTCTATCGTCGAGAACACTTCATTCATAAGAATTTAGATTGGTTCCGAATACAATATAGAATGTAACGCCGTTGACAGCAAATAAATAGGAAAGGTATATGCACAACATGCGCGATATGGCTATACAAACGTTAGCATTATGTCCTATACAACGTTTACATCACATTCATAATTACATATGTAAATACAATTCTTCTACGCGGTCCTCAGGTTTTTGTCCCTGTTTCAAAAGCTTTTACTTACACGACTTCTTTGTGGTACGGGACGCTCTCAATAATGCCGTACATATGTATCATTATGTTGCTAGGGGGAGCCGTACGGATTACCAAAAAAAAAGTACCCTGCATGTTTTGTCACAGGCCCGTGCTCTGTTTGCCACAAGCATGTAGCTCTTTTGCTTGCCGGCCCACTCCAATATGCGCGGAAACATATCCTGTAAGATAGCGCTTTCATCAGGAACTGTCGTTTTAGTTAAAGTCGTCTCTAATCAAGAAAGGTTCGTTTTGCCTTTATGTGGGTTGTCTGTTTCACGTTCTGGATCCTCCCTCTTGCAGCGATACAAACTGTTACAGAGCTAACATACATACAAACGAGGATACTATGTTAGTCTCTGAGGAGGATGAAGTTTAACTGAGTGTTTTTTTTTTACTTCACTACCAAAACGCTCATAGACGCGAGGCCATCGCTGCTTTGAAGACACAATATATAGGGGGCTCCGAAGATCTTAGCGTTTCAATGTCGGCTTTTTTGCATGCTGCGAGTTAGCATGGCCGATACAGAAGTTCGACAGCTAAATGAGACTTCACATGTGTGTCCTCTAGATTTCCCATCTACGTCGAGCTGCTCAAGCTGTAAGCATCGCCCTCCACGGCAGTTTTTTGTCTAAGACCCTTCTTCACGGCCTGCCGTGGCCCTCATCGTTGCCAGCTTCCGAAATACAGTTATGTTGTTTCTTTCCGCGACTCGCTGTTTTTACATTAGCTGGTCCTGCGGCCAACTGTTCTCCTGTGCGAGTGTTTTTACGGGGTACTTAGCAGCGAATGACAAATCCAGGAGAACTTTGCTCTACACCCTGACGTCATTCGAAGTACTCAGTTTAAGAAAAACTGTTCCTAGTACATATTCCGTAGAAAATGCGGAACTAGACATGCCTTTACACACAGGGGGAAAGATGTTGGTACGGGATGCCTGGAAGGAATATAGTTACTGCCTAACGATCAAGAACGCCTAACACCCGGGAGCCTGGCAACGAACGAAAGACATTTTAGCATTGAACAGGCTGGGTGGCTCGCTGGCTAATTTAAGGTGACGTGACACAGTAACTTTCAAAAACAGAAAATCAAGAAAGTACGACAGTGGAATAAAAGAATGAGAGGTGCACAAAAGAGGCAAGACCCTAACGAGAAGGCGCGAGTCTCACTGCTGCAAACAAATTACGAGAGCAGCGGCCCTTCAAAGATCAGACCGTTACAAATCCTTCTTCCGCACTTACGAAGAATTTGTAGCGGTTGGCTATGTGTGCTTCAGGAAAATAACGCAAAAACATAGCGAGTAGTCGGAAAATAATATGAATGATGAGAAAAAACAAGTTGCCTTATGAACGCCTTATGAAGCATGAAGGCGTGCATTACTTTTAACCAGACTCCATTAGGTCAACCGGCCCACTACCTAGGAATATGAGAAATTGTACATTTTTTTTATGAAAAATGGTAAACAACAAAGCACCTCAGTAGCGATGTAACAATGAAACAGTCTAACAGAGGTATACGCTAACCAGATTATATACTAAAAATGAATTACTATTTCACGAAGAATATTTTCCAGTGAAGATTCCAGTGAAGAATAAGATTGTTTCGCCCTGTCACGAATTGATTAGGAAGTCAAACGCAATACAATCGTAGTAAATAAAGTCTAAAGTCACTAAAAACATCCATTAGATAACTACTCAGAATGCAATTATTAGAAAAAGTTGCCAACTATCGTTTTATTAGTACTTCTCGCCTTTTGAACACGCATGAGATCGTCCTGTTCTTCTAGCATACGACAGGTGAACATAAAACAGTAGTCAGTACCGCATCCTGTAAAACATCAACCAACAACATTCTCATCGTTGGCTGATAACAACCTGCTAACAAGGCTAGTAGCCTATACCTTTCGCATAGGCCTTATCCATTAGATGTGTTCCATTCATCTCCTCTTCATTGTAGCTACTCCTCTCGTCTTACTGAAATGTTTTCCCCCTACATTGACATCTGGTTGACATCTGTTTTACGAAACCTATATCTGCTTTATATCTACCAATTCCGACGGCGGAATTGCGCAAAACGTATACGTTTGTTCCGCTTCTGTCGACACAGCAGATCATTACAAGCCGGGGCTACTTTGTCAAACAAGGTTTCTTTATTGTAAATTGATAGCTAGGTTTAAAATCAACTGAGTCTTGCTATATATATATATATATATATATATATATATATATATATATATATATATATATATATAGCAAGCCAATATACTATCGAAACCCTTAGTTTATAAATAATATGTGAATAGACTAATTAACAATAACTATTCATTGGTTAATGAAAGTATTACGCGCGTCCTGGGCTTAATATGTCACTCCAAGTAACAAATATATACAGTTCAGATACGGAACGCGTTACGTCGCTACATACTGAGGCCGTGACATTACATTAACGTATATACAATAGGGACCTACCGTATATACATTTTTCTTATCTTTTGAAGGGGAAAACGGTTAGGTTGTAGAACTCCTCCTTTTTTTGACTTAGTGACGTGACATCATGACGGTGCAGGCTCTGTTTGACACTACGAAATGTCCAGACGGGCAAAACATAATGAATAGCCTGTTGCTGTCGAACGCGTCAACTTACGTTATCGACTATTGCGTTGCGTATAAGTTTACGACATGGATAGCCACAGCACCAGTACCGGTATCATAATTGCGCAGGCGATAATGTCTGACAAGTGTCTGTACAAAATGTAACAACAATCGGACCACGAGACAAGTGACAAAATCGGTGTTTGGCTTCGATATCTGTCATGGCAGATAACAATACCACGGTATCTGTAGTTGATGCCGCCGTCGTCGTTATTCGGGGAATAACATGATCTCTGGATCGCACGAGTTTGCCCTCCACGAAAAGTAGACGTTCCAGCAGACTGCGATTACACTCGAATAGAGAAATCGGTACTGCAATGGGATGAAATAGAAGTTTAGCAGTTGAGAAACCGGCCAATAGCACCAGGCAGCTTTGACGATTTTGTAACCCTCTTCACGAAGTCGAGTGACTATTGTGTTGACATTTTTCCCCTGAAAGCAAAACAAATATCAGCGATATACCAGTTGAGGCTTTTGTCAAAAACAGGCAGAATTAACAGATGGGTTGTAGCACCTACAGGAGTCGAAGTGATAGCCGAAACATTTTTCGTCGAACGACTCATGTAACGTCGAACGACTCATGTACGTATAGAACACTTTATGCTAAAAAATAAACCCGGCACCTTTATATAGCTCTAACTTAACATAGGCTAGTGTATCTCACACTATAATCAGCGTAACAAAATAAAAGAATTAGTAATTGTTTGTTTGAACGTTGGTTGGTGATTGCAGGCACATGCAGCTTTACTGTCTAACACTTCAATGGATTAATTTCAATTAACAGAGCAATATCTGTCTGACGACAGTCAACTGAATACATGCCGCTATGGTATACCTATTTTACAGTCAAGCCGACAACTGAAGGCTATCGAACTCGGACATTGCGTCTTACATAGTAGTTCGTTACTTTGACACCCATGTGAAGTTTAAGGCAAACAAAGCCTAATAATATATAATCCTTCATCAAATAAAATATTCTATAGATTTGGGGGCCCGAAACATAGGCTATCCTTAAAATGATGCGGTGACCGTTAATGCGATATACGACGTTAGCATTCGAACATCTCCACTGCTAGCAGCAGAAACCCATCCCGCCACTGCCACTGGGCTATGGCATAAATCGTTGCAGACAACAAAACGGTCTGAAAGTTTTTAGGTATACGTCTACAGCGACATAAGGTTCACTCTATGCTTATCCGACGAGTGCGTCATTTTTAATGTTAAACGCACTGCTTCCCTCAGACGATGCAAAACCCACTTTAGCGTACCATGCATTTCTAGGCTACCTAGCGCAAAACTTCAGCACGCTGACAAATCGCATATTACCAATAGAAATAGCATTTAAGAAGTTAAAAATTTTATCTCTCCATAAGTGTCAAAAAAACACAAAATCCTGGAACTGACGAAATAGTTACAAACACTATCCGACAAACTGAGGGATTCGCCGATCACAAGGTTGAGTCATATCCGGGGGCCAGATCAAGTAAATGGGCTGCTTTTTCTCAGAAAGAGCAGTGAGAGTCATAGTCTCAAAAGTCAATAACATCAACATAGCATTCGGAAATAGCTTTAGTCGCAAAACGCCCATTTCGTCTGCCAGAGAGAGAGAGAGAGAGAGAGAGAGCGGGGACGCAAGCTGGGGGCGAAAAAGGGGCATCGAAAAGCTACAAAAGTGCAACTGAAACGGCTCCGACATGTACCACACAGATCGACAACGTTAAACTTGCCTAAAATCCCTCTTTTTAATGATAATTTTCTAGAATTTCTTGTTTGGTCACCAAACTGTCGATGTAAATAGGCTAATTTCGAGAAATAAAACAAAGATAGGACCTATGTAAAAATGATGCTGTGTATAGAATATTGTTGGATAGAACTGGTTTGCAAGGGAGAGGTAAAAAGATCTCTGTTCCGTCTGTAATTGTGTTCGTGCGTCAATCATCAATGAATTATAAGACCAACCTCTTACAATTTCTCTTAAGCAGAGAGAAAACTTACCTCAAGGGCAGAGAGGAACGCTAAAACGCCGTGCAGGTAGGGTGGCGCGAAAATCAGTTGATCAACAGCTACCTTTTTGCAAGCCTCCATTTTAGTCTGCCCTGGAAATTTCTTGTCCAAGAATATATACCTAAAATATGAGTCGTACCAGTATAAGCACCTTCAAGTTACCTGGCTTTCACCAAGCTAGATTAATGCTAGATGCGGCTAGATTTTACAAACATGTTCTCTTTCATAATAAATGGTCACTATCACGATATCTGTTTGATCTAGTAATATTTCAAAGTCCGCACGACTTATTGTGCCACATCTTTGAACAGAAAAATCGACGAAGTCGATTGTATCGTTGACCGTTTCATCATACTCGATCCACGCTACCTAATCATTGAAGTCGTGAGTGACCCTCATCGCTACACGGAAAATGAACTTCTGCTAGGGGTCCGACTGTAGGCGTAAAAAGGTGAAATTGGTGACATACAATCGTCGCCCGTAGCCCAATTCATCCTATTTTCTATTTCGTCTCTCATGACGATGATCTCCAACAGTGCAATCGATGACCACCGATAGTATCAGTCAGAGATACGACAAGCTAGCGACGTCATTCGTGGTACGATCTATCTCTAGCATCTCATAGACGCTATCTCGCTCCTTGGCGACGCTACTGTCCATGTTAATGTACATCCACTATAAACTTCAGTCTTTTAATTATGATACTGACAGTATAGTTGTGCTGATCGTAGTGATAATGATACTGAGTTCGTTGCAAGTTTGAGCCCGGATCTCAGGCCATACTCTATGTCACACACACAATTCTCACATTGTTACCGCTACTGATCGAGAGAAGCCGCAGACACCATCGCCTAAGTCAATGATGACGCTGAACGCTACAAGATAATTCTATGAACGCGGCCCGCACTTTATCCCTCATCGTCTTTCTTTGTAGCGTGACTTCGTCCATCTAGACGCTGTTATGACCGAACGATCGGACGAGACGGTAAGAGCCGTTATTTGCGGATGCTTCCGGCGATGGCCTTGGTTGTGCGTTTTGCCCAGTAGAAGGACAACACTAGTCATACTGCAATCGCCGGGCGTCATAGTTTGCCATCTGTAATTGCTGTGAAATGACCCTATGGACTGAAAGATATCCATGGACTTCACAATCACTCGACGTATGGGGCAAGATATGGCCAGAAAGATAATTTGCATTCCTATTCGTACAAAGGATGTGGAAAGTGGCTAAAATCTACCAATTTCAAACCATGAAGGAAGTTCTTCGTTTGAAAAGCCGTTGCTAGACTGAGGCTTCCAGAGTAAATCCAAGTTCCTGTGACTTCGTAAGCCAGCATTAAGGAATTGGAAAGTGAGTTGTAAAGTGAGCCTATAGAAAAAGTAATCGCAGTTACACGATCGAAGTTGCTTTAACTTGTAGGTGACTTCCTAATGGCCTTCTGCCAGCTCAAAAATATATGACACGCACCAGCAGGTCAGATGTATTCGTATGTCGGCCTATAACTATAGTCCTCTTGTAGCGAAAATCCTAGAACTTCATTTGCTCTCAGCCTTGTTGTTGCAGGCAGATAAATATTTCCAATATACATCATGACGAGAACGAATTTTTGGGAAAGAATACGCAATGTTGGAAAGAACGCAAGAGTTGTACTGTGAACTACTGACCGAAAATGCCTATTCTTGGCTATGATCGATGAGCAACGGTGGAAACAAAACGTATCAAAAAATTAGAATGTATCTATCGTATTTTTTTATGTACCAAAAGGTTCATTAACAAATCGTACCAGAGCCTATGATTGTGACAGAAGCACGAGTAATAGTGACATGACAGATATTTTCTGTATCTTTTTTGACCAATCGCGTTTGTAAACCTACCATTTTCGGATGATGGGTCCGACCCAGCAGGTACCAAGAATAAAATAACGAGCTGTTCTTACAGGATCATATGGTTTCTCTTTCTCGATGACATTCTGACATATTAGATCCGACGTGGTCATCAGGGCACCGGAAGTTGTCAACTGGGTCTTCCATGGATGCCTGCGAAGTAAATCCGCGTAGCGTTTTGCAACAAAAGCCATGTTCACTGTTTTTTTTTGTTCTTTGTTCGTTGTAAAATGCTTGTTGTCGACGATTTTTCAATATAGGCGCCTCATGAAACTCCTAACCAAAACCCTGGTGAGAAAAGTGAAACCGATTAATATTGAGTAGCTATAATAATCACAAGCAGAACAGAATAAGGCAAAAGCACGCACATTTGAGGCCTGAAATTAGTCTTTCCGACTTCACGCGATGCACCACGTGCGAATACCGCACTACTAACTGATAAAATCAGTACGTAACTCACACGAAATAGGTACTACTACATACGTTATGAACCCATACATAGGTGTTATATGAATGACACTAATATCATTGTCCAGTGAACTTTTGGCCGACACAAAATATTATACCATCTACAGGGATGTCAGTTTTCGCGCTGCGTAAAGAACGCCTCCAAAATTTCGAACCGCATTAGAGGACGGGGCGTCGTCAGGACATGGTACCAACAGGATTTCATCCTAGCTAGACTAGTTTTTTAGCTAACTAGCTAGGTTACGATTTTGCATGTATAACGATATGGCGTTACGGACGGTATAGCGACTTAGCAGCAGGCCTAGTAATTAAAATGATTGTCAAATGCCGACAGGACGTCGTTTATAAGCCCAGTTCTTCAATTATGTTCCAAAGGCAATGTTAAGCAAATACACTATTGTGACCCAGTCCCTCAGCGACCACATCGAACGGTTCGCGTCCGAATCAACGCGCTCAAGCCAGCTTCGCTTATATTCAATATTTCCCGCTGCATGAACAATTCTCTAAGTGTTGCAGCTCAGGGTTTGGCTTGTCTTTTCGACTCTGCCAAGAAATACGTTATTTCTTAACGCTCACAAAGGTGTTCCGCAGAGAACTATGAAATGGACATAAACATCTCCTTTTCCGTCCGGACAAGCAACGTCGGAAGAAAGCGTTGAAAAGACTTCGTGGGCGCGAAATCGAACCAGTAATCGAATGTTATCATAATTTCGTGCCAATTTTTTTTTAATAATGTAAGGCGAAGCTGCTTCGTGGGAAGTGCCTCGTAGTTTGTCAACAAGTTACTTAAGTATCTTAATCTTGGCTTCCTGAAGGTTAGAATGATGAGAAGGTACACCTTGTTTAGGTATTGATGCCGACTGCTTTGTTATATATCGGTATAAGGCATCGGAACGGGGACGACACCATTCGTAACTTCCATAAAGCAAAACGTGCTGGCTTGATCACTTATGTGTGGTGCCACTGAAATAAGCCAGTTACCGTATCGTAAATGCAGATGCCATAATAGACCAGGTTTTTATCGTCGTTCGTTGAATGTAGCTATTCTGGATACGCTCCAAACGTGTATCAAGCAACAGGGCTTGACATAGATTATTGCTATCGCTGCACGTCACCGTTACCGACACATGCTCTGTTAGTATTCTGACTCGGCTGCTGTTTACAGGCTAAAAATTCGTTGGTCCCGAACTGACTCATACGACATCATATCGGAATATTGTATAAAACATTATTGCACACATTAGACACGATACTATCGACCTAAAAAAGTCTTACCGCATGTCGTAAAAGATAAACAAAGCAGATCTAGACATTTCGTTATTCAATACAGATAACTATTATCAGACTATGTCATCGACACAATTATTCGTTATAGAAGTACACTACACCGATATATCCAAATGAAAGACCGATCGCGTGCGGTTAAGGTCAGTGTCACCGGAACCGTCGTTTTTGGAGCACGTTTTCCTACTCAGTAAGCCTGTTGCCTACTGATTGAACTCTCATCCACGTCTCTGCTAGTCGACTACACCGTGTTCCCAGAGCACGACTACCATATTAACTAAAGTGCCGCCTATAGTTGAGTCAGTTTTAATGTTACAGTGATACTGGCACTAGGTCGTCTCGGCAAAACATAGTCCGCGCTCTAGCGGTGGAAATCGGTCCTGCTACATCTTTGGTAGCAATAAAAGTAACAGCAGTAACTGTGTTGGTCCCTGGCTGCACAGTGGCAGTGCCCCGTCTAAAACATCTGCCTGGTATTTCTGGCGCCGGCCATCGCGCACCCGCTCTACAATGCGTATACACGATGCAACGAACGTGGCATATTGAACTAGAATAGCAAAAACAGTATCTGCCGTTCAAATTTGACCGCGCTTTTCTTTCATCTAATAATACGCTAGATATGTGAATCGGTTAAATTCAGCACCGTGCACGTACGACGCTGTCATTTCTATGCCATTCTATGGAATTCGTTTATTTATTATCTAAGCAAATTCTATAAAAAAATGCCTTTGCTGATGCAAAAAGATTGCCAGTTTAGGAAACTGTTCGTCCTTCGTCGAAAGCAACGCTCAAGGGGCAAGAAGGGTGGCGATACCCTTCCCCCTGACTTGAAGCACACGCCTGGGTGTGTGCCTATGTATTTGCCGGACATAGGCAAAACGTCGCCAGGAAAGTAATTCGCTGGCCGTTCAGAATGGCATTGTGTGAAATGAGCTATTGGCCTTCTTCTACCGACTTTGACGCCACCTTCTTAGATTGTATTGTTAACAATTACGTCAACAATGAAATATTATAGCTAGATAATAAATGGCGCGCGTTGATAAGAGCTGAACTGTGCAATCTGCGTCAATACACACGGGTGCATACGTATATCTAATCATAACAAAGCACTTGCATACGATATTGCGCTCTCTTCAGATGATTAGCTAAAAACGGCGGAACGTCTTCAAACATATTACTGAAAATGAAATTTATACGAGCTCTTTTCACTGTCATGTTCTTAGCAAAAATGTACAATAGCCATGAGATTCCGGAATCAACTAGGATGAGAAAAATGCTATGGGATCTTTTCCAATGTAACCATGCACGATAGATTTTTGATTTGTTAAATATCTTCCTGAAGCCTATGATACACATCGACCAAGGTAGCGGACAAGAGCATTTATTAATGTAATAGTAACAATAATAAGAGAAGTTAATGCTCTAGATACGCTCGTATATTTACAATAAATATACGAATTGAATTAAATCAGATTCATTGCTATACTGGTAAACATGCCTGATAAGTTTCATTTCAAATTTGACCGCGTATACGTACACATACACCTTTTTGTTTTACGTTTTGCGTACGTCATGTCGAAACAGTTCATCAGAACTGTTTGCTGATATCATGCTCACCTATAGCACTGGCTTTTAGGGATTTCGTTCGCGCACAACATTAGCGTAGAGGCCGTCGAATAGTTTAATAGGCTCATGCATATATAAGCGTGTTTGTTATATATATATAATTTTTTTTATTAAATTCACATTAGAGTAGATATGATATCATGTGTAACGAATCCGGATCGTCAGATGTTTTCTACCATATAAACCAAGGTTTGATTCTCTCGTTGTTTCAATCATTGCTGTACACGTGTTTACAAGCTCCTGCTAGCGCCTATTAAATTACCAGTCGGCCTATTAGTTGCCCAATAGGAACAGTACGAGTACTTCTGACAGATTTTTCTTATCCCACCTCCACAGAGCATCGAAGTTACTACAAAGAACTGCGGAAAACTACATGTTCACGTCCAGGTAAGCCAAATGATGCATTAAATCTTTTTCTGTATGAATATCCTAAACGCGGAGTAAAACGCTATAGATCTCACACGAAAAGCCGGCCAACAAAAAAAAAAAAGCCATAAACGTTAGATATTCGTTATTCAACGGCCGCCACTGGGCACTTAATTAGCTATCTGTAAATATGCAGTAATAGGAAGAATAAGCATTCAGCTGTAAATGAGTGTCTATCTTAGGTACAACAAACCTTCGCGTGACACTTTTTTACACTACCTAACGGTCCCGTGTATCCTTCCGCGATCCCTACTTAAAATGTGAAAGCGTCTTCTTCCTTAGCAAACTTACTGGTACATTGCGACGTTATATTCCTAGTATACGTGGTTTATCTAATATAACGGTATATAATATATTGTGTATAATATATACCATAAGGTACTATAATACCACCTGATATTGTTTATTTAATTTCATTAGCAATGATACAAAATCAGGGTGATGCTGTTATTCAGTCTCAAGCCTCTCGGTCTTTTTTCTTGTAATAATTATCTCCATATTATATAAATCCGCTACTTTTAAGTGCCGTATCTCTCGTTGAATCCACACTTGCGAGTCGGCCTGTTTCGGCACAAGCCTCTAACTGGATAGCGGAAAAGCTGACAATTGTGCAAGCCGAACTGCACGCAAGACGTACTCCCTATAATGAGCAAGGGTCCTTTTTTTGATTCGCAGCTGTTCCTTGATCACGCTAGACATAGAGCCGATAGGTTATGATATGGCTTTATAGCCAACTAATATATAATATGGCCAACAGGCCCGATTTTATGGTCCACGGCAGGTAAAATCATGAAGAGGAACGCTTTACGTGACCGTGTCGAAATTCGATTTGATAGGTCCATATCTGACAGTAGAATTATTAAGTGATATAAACTTGTTTAATGTAATCGACTGAGAGCTGCAAGCAAATTACGAACACTAATTTCTCTATAGATCGCCTGTTTGCGGTGCCGTACTTATAATTTCGTCATTTGAACATATATGTCCCACTTGACTATATATAAACCAATCGAAAAGGTATTGCGCCCCATTCATACGTTTGGATCCTCACGATTTTTGTTGGTTATTTTGATGATAGTATTATGAGCATGTCGCAATACATTATGGATTTAGCCTTTTTAGGTTCATATGACGTTTGAGCTATACAGAAATCCACTAGGCCTGTATTATAAATAGGAAGCAGGTACTACTAACCCGTTGCCAATAATTAAAAGCTTTAAGGTCTTCTACAGGCTAGATTGGCATAGCCTAAATGTTGTGTAAGCTGGACAGGTAACAGTATTGTTTTCGTGCTTTCAGGGAGACATCGAGAACCTGGAGAAAAAGGCAGTTTTTCTGACCATCCACGACATTGGAAACAACCGTAAGGGACACAACTCTATCTGCAGAATGTGTATCTATTAAAATAGTATAAATTCTTGCTTGAAAGTGAATTATCCTCATAACATACAATCTTACTACAAGCTTGATTTAGATTCCATCTAATCATACGATGATTATATTGACTTACCGGTCTCCAATGCTCTTACATTTAGTAATAACACCTGTGAAATAAAAATAAATCGTGTCTTTAGTTTTATAATTCCGACTGAGAAAATATATGAATTGAATTTAAGGTTTTACTGCAACATTTAGAGATCTCCTCAGGGACACATTGAGGCGACTGAGGTTGTGCATTCAAAATTTATCAGGGGATCATTGGATGGATACGGACCCGACCAAGGTTCGTTTTGATCCTGCTGATGCACACCGTGTCTCTCTAATAGCGCAGTGATAACGTGGCTGCCCACTAAACTCAGGGACAAGCGAAGTGGTCACACTTCGATATATGATTTTTTGTGCAAAAAAGGCCGATCTTCTAAGGTAATTCTTAACGGCAGTGTTAGAGGCACAGTTTATGTGAGCGGGCGCTTAATGGACTCTTTAGATAAAACGAGATCTCTTAATATTTCGTTTTCGAGTTAGTGAACTGTCTAAAAGTCAAATAGTCCTAATTAGTTGGTTTATTAATCGGAATCATTTTTGCTGGTACTGATATAAAGCAGGATAACTATTTATCCGTTCCTACACATTCGTCAAATGCTTCCTCTCTTGGAAACAAGACTAGCCTGACCTTATGCGTTCCAGTGAACTGCTGCACTGTCCATCGGATACTGCGGTTAGGAAGTTAGTAGGGGCAATCGTTCGAGGCATTGTGCGCAGCGGTCTATGCACGACAACTGCTACAGTTGCCACCCTACCGCTATTTAGTATCGTTCGATCGTTCAATTAGATTCATTCATCATTCAATTAGATCTTGTGCGAAAAGAAGGACTCGCTTCGTTAAGCGCCGTCATCTAATCTTCAGCGGTATTTTACCAGCTAAATTTCTCTCCGTTGACCGCATGCTGTATATTTGGCAAAAAAAAAGTCATTATTTACAACCTGGCTGGTATAAGGGCTGGTTGTTTCATCGAGTTTTTTTCTAGTGTTAATTACACATACATGGTTAAACCCAGCTCACCGGTCATGCCTACGTCAATGATGATTTTTGTGCCTTGTTGGCTGCGCTACCTCTTGTAGCTCTTTTTCGTCTTTACATTTTTTTGCATTCTTGTTACGTTTCTTTTTTTGTATTTATGATGTTTGTGTCGAGACATCGTACTCTTGTTCCGTAACAGCGGCCAGGTCAGCTTCGTCTGCCTTTGTCTTAAGGTCGGTGCTTATGCTGGCGTCAATGGATAAGTTCGTGTCCGTGGTTGTTTCCTAATTTCTGTCTATTGGAAAACTTAAATTTTTGCCGCAGGCGTCTTCGTCACTATTCGTTAATAAGGTGGCCGTGTCGCTATAATATAGACCTTCTCCTGATTCTCCTAAATTACCTAGGATTGTGTCGATATGTTTATGAAATTAGGTACTCCTCGATAAGGAGCCTTTATCACCATAATCTTAACCTCCTCCGGATTCTAGTAGACTACCTACTTATATGTCAGTATGTCCACGACGAGCGGTACTTGTTTATGGGGTGCTTCTATTACTATGAGCTAGACTCTCTCGTGATTCTCCTGAATTATCTAGGAATATTTCGGTATATTCGTGATAAAGGGGTCTTGTTGGACGTTGTTATCATAATCGTATCTTGTCCCTTTTTCTTTCGCTTCTGATGCTGACCCAGTAGAATTGGCTTAATGGATCGATACGTGAAAACGATCATTAGGTTTGTGTTCAATCGGGTTTGCTATTATATTGCTTCTCCATATATCGTTTTGACACACATATGCTAACGGGGCAACACTTTAATAGAATCATACAAGCCGAACACCTATATTACTTGCCTTCGCCAACAATTGTGGGTTCCTGTAATGAGTCAGTGGATTAACTGACCTGTCATTTTCCTAGCGGCAACGATACCACGAGGGAAACTTCGACAGTTCTTGTGTTGAGTTTCCGCCTTCGATGCTGCGGCAAAGGCCAATGGTTAAAATATATATACCATATCTCTCTGAGATTGGTCATATAAGGCTGTAATTAGCCATAGTGAGTAGCGACGAGTGAGCACATGTTTGAATCGGGTAAATGTACGGTATTAACGATAGACGAGAAGTATGTGCACATGCAGAGCAAATACTTTCACAGTTTGGTAGGTTTCCAGCCCATGATAGATGCGACCGCGTCTTTTTATCAAATGCTCTTTTAGCTCTTAACATAGTCTTCTTGTTCAGTTGTAATTTTTTGAAAGTGGTAGTTGATCGACGAGAAAATCTTCACTTTTTTTCCCGACTGATTTACTCTTCGAAGTGAACTGTTTGGTTAAGGAGTGTTATTGTATATGGACCTTTCATCTGCAGGTATTGATCGACGCCAAAATTTCCGCTCATTTAACCTACACTACTCCAGCGGGCCTTTAGGAGCGCTTATTTAGTATATTTTGGTGAAGTTTTCCGATTTTTTCGTTTGTGCTAGCATGTTTTGTTCGTCCCACACTTCCATAGTCAACTAAGCTAATGCGACAATGTCGAAATTTAACTATCGAGACATTTCACGATGCCGAACTTCTGCGAGCGACGTCCATCTTGATTTTAAGCTACGCAGACAGATTGTTTTTCCAATGCAAGAATGTGATAATGGCTCGATATTCAACACCTTTCATTGAACGAAAATATTGATATCGATTGACAAAAACAACTGTCGGGTAACGATTGAGTGGCCAGCGTAGCTAAAATGGCCACTAGTTGTTTAACGCCATAACGATTATATGACCTGCATATATCTAAGAAGCAACGCCATCTTCATGTTGAAACTTGGACCTTTTCCAGCGACCTATGTTCGTCCTTGTTCATGAGTGCAAGCATCTAGAAACGATATTTGCGGTTCAGCCAATTCCAAAAGGGATTTGGCGACGACAAACAATTATAAAAAAGAGATGTGATTTCCTACTTGGAAGTAAGGCAAGTACATTAGGGTCTTTCGATATTAAGCGAGTGGAACGTAAAACGAACCTGAAATTCGACCGCTATAACGTAACTTGGATATGATTTATAAAACAATCATTCTATGATTTGTTCGAATTTATCTTATTATCACCTTCTTTAGGTTAATCGTGACACTAGTGTTTATATACTAACCTAATTATTTGAGTCCTATTACCTTTAATTTAATTCAAAAATATTTTTAAAATTTCTAAATTGCCGATAGGAACCTAGATAACTTTTGTGTTTCGTTACATGCCAATCAATAGATACATCAATTAGCTTTGGAATAAAATACGACATTATATATATTTATATATATTTACTTATACGTGATACAAAAAAAAATAATAGAACGTGATCAAAACCGTCTTCCATTTAAATGTATGCAACAATATCAAATAAATATAGTGTACTACCGGAACGCATTTAACGGTACAGCTCACCAACCAACGCCGTGGCAATCAGAAGTTTTCGTTCGCATACGTCCAGCGTGATGTGGACGCGTGTCGTGCTATTTTTAGTAGCTTTTTAGGCCTTATAATTAAGTATTTTATCAAAATGCCAAACGTTTATTGTGCAGTGAGCCAAGGCAAACCACTTACGGTTATTAATCTATTTGGCACTAGCCAGTGGCCTGAGAAGTAAGGATCCATAGAACGTTTCCGTGTCTAGTCCTCAATGAGCAGCAGTTCGATTATGACCTGTCTTACGCAGCTGCAAATGTACGGGTCGCATTTAGAGAAGAGCATACGTTTAATAATTTTCCTACTTTGTATAAAATGTCAGTGATACATACTCGTAGGATCCTTAACACAAGTATGTAGACTGTTGGATAGAAGCATATATTTTTTTACTATATAGACTAAATAAGTGGAAAACTCCCGTCGTATTTTGTCACTTTCATTGAACAATTGAGTTCATCTTAGTTAAAGTAGTGTTTTTTGCTTCTTACCACTTTCGGCCATCTTTCTATCTTGCATCTAATGTACTCCGCGAAGTAAAAAGGCTCTGTGCTTCCGCTTTTTGTCCAGAAGTGAAATCATTTGTTCTTCGACCCTTGTGCGGATTTCCAGCCCTGTCCTGAAGTATTTGTCTTTCTGGCTCTTCTACATTGACCGAAAACGAGTGAAATCAGATAAAACGACGTCCGACCTATATGCTGGGTGGGGTAGGTTTCTTATTGGGGGTTCGTAAGCGTTGGTGGGTCTGTAAAACAATATGAGACGTAGCGCTGTCATGTAGCAATATAACTTCGCGTTGCCCTTTGACTGTCCAACGCCTTCTCTTTCAATTTCGTGACTAAGATAATTGAGTTCATTCGCCTAACGGTTTTATGTAATCCTTGCCTGGACCTTGAGTAACTCATAGAACAACACACTACAACCTCGTCAGCCATTCGGACTTGCTCATTGTGTGCTTTCAGGTTTTCCGCCAGACAATTCCTGCATCCATTCTGCTTAAAAAGACCTTTTACCGTCCCTTGCCTCGATATTCTTTGGATCGAGTGTAAGATTGAAAGCTACAAGCTACAATTATCCTTATGATAAGTTGCACTGTGCTATCCGTTTTGTCATATTCTCTCTCTCTCTCTCTCTCTCTCTCTCTATGTATATATATATATATATATATACATATACGTACGTGTACGTACAGCAAGAAAACAGAGAATTTCACGCGCAGATTGCGTTCCTGTTGCTCACTGTTGTGTGAATTAGGGCCGGGTTATCTAGAATCATCTGCCGTTCTTAGCCGTCTGCTGTCAGCAGCTCTCATCAGAGACGCAACCTTTAACAATGAATATTCATTCGTGCCGTCGAATTAGCAGGATTTTATTGTTTCGGGTTGCGTAAGGGATGTCATAAAAGATCAGTCTTCCATCGCCAGTAATAATCCAACATAAAAACGATTTTATTTTCTGAGGTAGGACTATTGCCAAACGTCTTTTGTCATTTTCACTGAGTTCACGAAGATAAATTTTTCTTCCTATTTTATCTTTTTTACTATACGCACACGTTTATCTGCAATATGAATCGTTTAGAGCTGTGGAGAAGTTTTCGGGTCGCCCAATTTTGCTTAAGGAGTCCCTGCAGTGTTCGTCATCGTTCAGGTACCTATGTGGCAATGCAAGGGTTATAATCAAAATAATTTTGGGTAACGTACAATTCGACGAAATAGTTATTTATGGCGAACACTTTTCTTTTGATTACAGTAGAGATTAACGACATTCTCTGCTTTTCCTTATATCATTACAGATTCGTCGTTCCAAGACTTCGTGGATCATCCATGTATGTCCGAGATAAAACAGCGTTCCGTATTTATCCACGTTGATGTGCCTGGGCAGCATGATAATGCCGATGATTTGCCCAACGAGTACGTACTTGATGTGGCTAGACAACCTAAAATACCTTAATCAATTATGTTAGATGACTATACTGGGGACTATGCGGTTTAGGATGGGTGAGTATTTCAGGCCTGTATGAAATAGGATGTCTCGATCAGAGAAATTGAGAAAGAGAACCTGCTTTAAAAAAGCCCACACCCGTGAGCTCGATACGTATACGCTTATGTAAATGTCGTGTCCATATATTGCATAACATTTTCGTGCGCCACATCTTCAGAGTCGTTTTCGAAGGACCTTGTAACAATTGTTTTACCATTGTCAAACACTAAGCGTTTGCCATCGAATATTGCTTATTCGATTCGTCTTCAAGAAAGACACCACGTTTCAGATAATTCCCTACACTAAATCACGAATGGCTACAATGCCGAAAAGCGCTGTCAAAATTTCGGAAGAGTTTTTTTTTAACGATCTTCTCAGTATCCTCATGGTGTAGCGGCTTATTTCGTGGCTCTCCTTCATAGTTAAACTTGGAACAAATGAGGCTCGTCACAGATAGTTTATGATGTTCCTTCTAGATTTGCCACACGTGTGGGGTATGGTAAAAAAACTCGATTTTATTACAGTTATTATTATTATGAGAATATCGTATTACTATGAGACAGTCTCGGATGCCGAAGGTTTCGGCATTTTTCTGCATGCACCGTAATCAATCCTAGTTAAATCATAAGCAATACTTCTTGTTTATATCAGCCTATAAAAAATCAATGCTCAGGTAACAACATCTAGTTCGTTTTCAGCTTTAACTATCCGACGATTCAGCAGATCGGTGAGGATCTAGCTCAGGTGCTAGACCACCTCAAGTAAGTTATGATTAGCTTCACAATCAAATAACGCTTCTAAGTAACTGTTCTGAGTTCGTCAGCGAATGTCACTGCCACTAGATGTCGCTTCAAACGGCTGACAGCTTTGTTTAGAAAGCGCGTGTCTAGACTTTATTTCAAATTAAGATTACTTTACGTCAGTTTTTTGCGGAATCATTTCGTCATTTGTCTAATCTGCCCTTTGTTTATCTAAAATTGCGTATCCTTATAGGATTAATATCGTCGTGGGCTTCGGTGAAGGGGCAGGAGCTAACATTCTCGTGCGCTTTGCTGTAAGAAATCTATTTTTTAGAGCCGTTAAGGACACCAAAGTGGGTTGACACGTCAATTACGATTTATCTAAATAACAATATAAAATCAACATTGGCGGCAGGTTACTTATCGATGACAGATATTGATTAGTCGCGAAGGTACGTCATATGAAGGTAGTTCCCTATTTTGTCGTTTCGATAGAATATAAACTCTAATCAGAATACAATATTCAGCAATATGAAGGTAATCAAGGTAAACAATTGTTAAAAACGAAACCTTACCTTAGGTGTACAGTAATGTAAAGCCATTTACATAGAATGGATTCCAGATAAGTAAACTACTAGACGTTATCGATCTCGTCAAAATTGAAACCTATTCAACGATGTTTGTAGAAAAAAATCTTTGGATATGCACGAATATGTAAAAAATACGAAATGACTAAAAGTACTGAGAGTTAATATAGACATTATAAACTTTTTTTTTTTCAATTATTAAAGAAGGCATACAGGGTAGTCGTAACCTACTTCCCAAACTCGGTACACGAATGAGGCTATTTTTGCTGCAAACCCCAGCAATCCGTTCTAACAGTGGAAACAGCTAAATGCATGGTCGACGCATTCTCATTAACAGTTATGCTGTTATTTATGGTGTTTTTACAACAGCTTGCACACCCCTCACGAATTTTGGGGCTCGTCCTAATTCACCTGATAGCAACCGGCGTTGGTATGATGGAGTACTTCAAGGATCGAGTACGTAAAAATGACCTTGCATATTCCCGTTATAATCCCACCAACGATAATATAAAAAAAATCGTAACGCCACTACGCTTCACGACCTAAGGGCTGATGACCAATATAAAACAAAACAGATCACTTAACAACTAGCCATCTTTAAATGAATATGATGTCACTACCATTAGGCTTGAAAAGAACAATTTTATAATAATAGAGGATTTGGCACACTTGTTCCTACGTTGGAATAGGTGCGGGATTGCATCGTTTGCAAACAGGAAAATAGTATTTAAATTAAAAAAAAAATGAAAACATTATTTGAATGTTCTGTAAATAACTTGTTTTGTTCCATTTTTTGCTTGGCGAACTTACGGGCGTGCCGACTATTTACGGAATCGAATATAGTTCCTGAATTGGAAACTCTCTAGCGTCGGTATGGACCAGTCTGCCGAACAGTATCTCGTTTATCATAAATTTGGAGCGGTAAGTACCGAATTAGAACAAATACAATATGCACAAAGAAGAACGTAATAAGAAAGCCGTTGCTGATGTTATCCATCGTTGATCTTATGTTTATAAAAAAGAGATATTTAGGCAACTATCCTAGTTTACATATATATATATATATATATATATATATATATATATATATATATATATAGTATAATAATCTATTTAGAAAATGTACATTCTTGTAAAAAAGCATTTTTATAAACAGTCATATTCTGATATGATAGTGCAATAAGAAACTCGTACCATACACATACAATATTCATGAGTGTCTAAATATTTACATACATTTTTATGCAGAGTTTCCGAGAAAGAAAACTTGAAACTTAAAATTTTGAAGAACTGATAGCAAAAAAATGTACGCTCTCGACCCATGAGTACAAATCAATAGCCTAACATATTTGCTATCTACGTTGTTATAAGTAAATACTATTTTCTATCCTCTCTAGCTAACACACCTCTAACTAGGTTTTTTTTTTCTACTTGATGACACAAGTTGTATATATCGATATTATACTTCTGTTAAATTTAAATTTTACATAAGCGAATTGAATTTGTGTACCGTATCTATTTGTATAGTAAAACTATGCTATCTTATGTAGTTTAGTGTATAACCTGATTTTCCCTACAGCAGTATATCTTCATTTTGTAGATGTTATTAAGCATAGCTGATAATGTTGTTCTTATTGCTCAATCGACCTCTTTGTCTATGTATATCTATGCACATAGGTATAAATTTCTAGTAAGATTACGCTAGATTGTCAGCTATCGTACTGGTCATCGAATCGATTTGATGACGCAACCCATTAATACTCACTGTGTATCGTTCATCTTGTAACCTACTCGATGTCCTCGATGACTTCGCACACTCTCTCACACAGGAGGTAAATACCACCCCAAAAACCGACCAATCCCCAATAAATACGATGAACGAATTAAATCAGCAAGCAATCTAGCTTAGAAAATCATCACCTGCTATAAAAGGGTCAGTTTTTATAGAGCTGCTCTTCTTTTTGTTCGATTTACTTCTGAACAGTTCCTTTGCGTAACCTCCTTTTCAATTTCTCGCTCTCGCTCTCTCTCCCCCCTCTCTGTCTCTATATATATATATATATGTATGTACACACACACGCGCGCACCCACGCACACACAAGTTATTCATTCTTCCCCTCGCTAAACTTCTTACACGGGTTTCCGTTTTTTTGCGTTTTTCTTCTAACTTTACTAATATTTCTCGAACCGAATTTCTCTGCCTCGCGCTGTAAACCACTTCACTCGTGGCATCGATCTAGCCGCTCCTGTATGATGACAACCGTCCGTAGTAATACGATAGATTGGCAGTTTTACCTTTTTCCCTCTCTGCCTTTTTATGTAGGAACAATAGTAAGAATATTACTAGAAATACTATAATAGTTGAATTCTAGAAAAAAGATATTTTACATTTATTTTTTGCACGGCAGCAGAGCACGGCTTCAGCTCTAGCTTAGCGGCCAACCTTAATTGACAAAACGTAGCTAAACTTTATCCACACATACGCGCACGGACATACACTTGTCCGTACCCACATAAAGGAAGGAGCGCACATGTGTTTTAGCTCTGAGCTAGCTTAGTGAAATTTTTGTGTCTCGGCCCGACATTTTTTCTTCAAATACGTCAAAGTGAAAATACGATGAGGCTATTTTTTTTTAATTCCACATGTATATTACTTCATTCTGCACGCGTTCTAAGCGCATATTTGACTAGGCACGCGTCGACGTGCTATGTTAACACGGATGCACCCTAGTGCTCCCAGGGCACTGAGTTTGTCTCCGAAATTTGTTCTAGTGCTCCCTACGAGCCCCTCAGGGCATCGAAATCGTGATCAGGCATCGAAAAACCACGTGTTATTCTACATAGTTATTCAACTAACTGTCTTAAATTTCATAGAAAAACATCTAGCTGGAAAACTACGTTGGACAATTATACGGTTGTCCAATGAAGCAGGTAGCTTTAATCACGAGGGACCCTTAAATGGAATTATGTGCGTATCGTTTGCTTGCTTTTGATCGACTGGAATGACTATAGGAAACGTTGTGCTACTATATGATGTTCCTAATTAAGATTTCGAATTACCGACTTCAATTTGGTAATGAAATCGCTTGAAAAAAAACTGGGTTCTATGTCTATAGGGGCACAGAATGCTCGCCTTAGAGCTTCATACAAGTGGCAAAACGATATTGAACGATACTTACACTGGTAGAGTTTAATTCTATACGCAGCTCATTATCCGCGCCTGGAAGCAGCAAACAGGAGACGCGAAGCAAAACCCCTTTTTCCTAACCGCTGCTGAGACATACACGCCACTGCAATATATACCAGTTCGGCACAAGTTGTTCCCTTCGAACGGTTGCTTGTTAGTAAATATCATTGTTGGGTGTTGTTGTTGCTGCTGCTTTTCATCCTAAGCTAGTCCGTGAATATGATCATCCAGTTAGGTTGATTTTGCTATGTTTGCAGCGAAAAGTTTCCTTTATCCATCACTGAACTAGCGTATTTAGACTAGATTGGCCTAAAAGCACCTGCAACATTCGTAGTGTTTTTACCAAGCCCGTAGCAGAACACGGTAGAGACCAGCTGCTGCCACTGGCGTTGCTGCTTGACTAAACGACTAGATTAGGAAGAGCGAAAGAAAAAAACTACAGATTGTAAAAAATAGCGAGTAGCTAGTTACTCATTAAATTCTAATAGAACTACCCCAAGTAGTCACACTCCTTCCAATAGCTACAAGTGCTTTGCCGAATATGCCCGTCAACCAAACAGACGAACCATACATAGTTTTGAATCTAGCGAATAAATTTTAAGTAAGTCATAAGCAATAGGCCAAAGGCCGATCAGAAGTAAATCATACTTTGAAAGCGCGCCTTATATATATTGCTCCTTACGAAAGTCGCTTTGGTTGACAGGCAGGACCCTGTAGCAGAACTACAAAATGCTTTACACTCCGCTGTGCGAACGGACACACAAATCGATGCGGACGCAATAGATACTAACATGCAAATTATTATATCTTGTCTCGTACCAAAATGATGTTTTTGCATTTCGTCCACCTGTCACGCCACCCGCAACCCGTCCGTTCCTTTCTGCAGCACCTTGAAATGGTGGATAATAAAGAAACGCTTATCAGCGAATACACTGAGAAGCTGAAGAAGCAAATCAACCCCCGCAACCTCAAGAAATACGTTCAGTCTTACATGAAGTAAGTAACAAAAGGGCTGCACCAACTCGATTGATAAACTACAACAACTCGACGACTATATCTGATGTATTGACCACGCTCAATAGGGAGCTTCAACATTGGCAATGGCTGTTTTCTTTTTACTTCGATTCCAATAGTTACTAGAGCGTTCAACTTTCCTAAATTGATTTAGTGGCATTGAATTAATCAGAGCACTTAGCAAAAAGTCAGCTAAATGTTTCGAGTTTTACGTCCGGCATCGCCGTTAGGCATTCCATCAGACGGCTGGCTGGCTCCCAGCACGAAACGAAGCGTGTCTATGCCCACATTCGAGCCTAGACCACCACGTGTCCCTAAGTTAGCAGGCAAGTATGTTATCCACTGTTCTATAACAGGGACCGCAAAAAGTTACCTGAACCAAATCTGTCGTACCCTTAGACGACCAAGCATTGAGACTAATACATTAAACCATTATCTATCCTATGCCCGTTTCTGTCCAGCCGCAAGGATATCAGCTCGATGATCGCCAATAACCTTAAGTAAGTTTTAATCATTTTACGATACAATAAACATACGTAGCACGGAGTGGTATTTAGGTTGCCCCGCCTCACTCATTATGCATCCCCGGCTTATGTTCATTCTATTGGCTTTGAGTTAGCGATGCCTTCTTCGTTTGAGAAACCTGCTTTAGTATGTCGATAGCTATATACGCAGAATCATTTTTTCAAAGATCTATAATTATCTTATATATGGGCTTCAGCAAACGTTTAGTTGCCCACTAAGGCAATAGATAATACGCTGTACCATCTAGTTACAATGGATTTTCTTTGCATCGTTTACAAGTTACTTTTCGTGCACTTTACTCACGCTTATTCCCACTTTAAAGTGGCGGAATTATATATTTGGGCTCGGAGAGGATTAGCTTTACCTCCACAACCCGAACGATTCAAACTAAGACGAAACTTCGTAACCCAAGTTTGTTCGCGGTTTCAGAAACGTTGACATTCTGCTGGTTACTGGCAGCAAAGCTGCTTATGCGACTGAGGTGGAAAAAGAATATCAGAAAATGGGAAAAGAGAAGACGTCCATCCTTAAGATCAACGATGTCGCCGACCTGATGCAGGAAGCTGTAAGCTGATCAAATGTTCCATCATTTTCTTGTTATTTCTCTGTGTATTTGTCTAATCATCTTGGTTTTCGTTCGTAAACGACTCGATCTAGAGATTCAAACTCAAACCAAACGAATTGTTAAAACTTTATGAGAATAGAGGTTGGTTTTCGTTTAGATCGCTGTTCTATTTGATGGATTTCAGAGATTCTAGGCTGTTATCCTCATTTTAGATGTATTTCAGACTTAGGCATCTTAGATGCAGATTGTTTGCATTATATTTCTATATACGAACCACTCTATGGTTTCTGTCGGAAGTTTCACTTGACGATAATAATAATAATGATACAATTTATCTTGAATGTCTAATCACAGCCCGAGAAGTTGGCCCAAAGTCTCCTGCTTTTCGTCAAGGGACTGGGATTCCGTAAGTAATTTTAACTAACGTAATAAAAATATAGGGGCATCTGAGCAAAGGTGCTTGGATCAAGTTTTTGTTAATTTTCGAGTTATTTCTATTTCCCTCTTCGGATACCCCTAAAATTTACCTGAATATCCAAAGGAAATTTGCAACCTTTAAAAAAGCTTATGTACACCATATAAAAGAGCTCTGTGTCTGACATGCACACATATAGTCATAATACAAACAGAACCGGCGAACTTAATTATTAATTCTCCATGTAAAGACAGGCCAATCTTTTCGATTTGAGCGGCGGTTAAGTTAGGCCCTTGGCAGGGAAAACCTTCGTGTGAACCCTTAAAATTGTCTAACTATTAAAATTAATTCGCACATTTGCATTCATATACATACACATGCACCAAGAACATACCTCACAATAAAGGCAATCAACATAGGTCCTGAATACCATGCGTTACTGTGATGACATTTCCGAATCAGGGATAGAACTTTTCTCTACGTTCTCAACGTTTGTATCCATTGTTCCATTGCTTACCTTTAGTGACCTCCATCACCCTTCCGGGTGTAGAAAGGCAGCGAACCTTCTCCGGGGGTGATCACAAGATGCTGGGCGCCGTAGGCCGTCGAAGGACGCTCTCGATGGAGGAGTACGACCTGCCGCGTCCGCGCAGGACTTCCCTCACCGCCAACAAGTGAAGCACTACGTGAACAACCAATCAAGCGGCCACCCTGCAGCAATGACTGCCTGATGTGACCTATCTACATGTCTTCATGTCATAACCGCATGTCCCCGTTCCCACTGGTGCCGATCGCTCTTAACTCCTAATTATGTCGCACTTCTTTCCTCTTCTAAAATCCCTCCCTGGTATGCCCAGCCTCATTCAATCCTAAAAAAGTAGAGCTGGTAAAACGAGCTTCCTCCCTAGGAAAGAATTGTCAGAAGACAAGAGTTCCATCAGATCCTTCACAACATACATCCGCCACATGTTGGTTCAGGTAAACCGAGCCGAGTGCTTGTCTTATTGTGGTCAAGTCGTACTCGCTGCTATTTATTTCCAACTAACTCCAGTTACTTATGTCGATGTGAGACATTTTGATAAGGTTGCATTCTAACAATAGTTGACTTATGTTATTCGAAGTTACTTTTTCGTGCTGCAGAATTAGATAGGCAGAAAATCTCTATAATTTACTGCAATATACGCATACTTTTATTTGTTGTGCGCTTTCTATGCATCTGCTTATTAGCATCGATCATACTAGGGACACTTGTGGTTTTCCGTCGGTCGTGCTCCTCCTCTGAAAAAAAAAACCCGAAATGGTATCAGTCGCAATAATTGTTCGTGTTATTGGCGAAATATTCGTGTTAGGTTCATTAGCTTTGTTTTTTTTGTCGTTATTTTTAGAATGGGTCCTTGCCTCAGGACAGATCCTCCTAGCCATGTTTTCTTTATCGAGAGCAACTATTATAAGTTATTATCTATATATGATAGATGCTAATGTTTTCACCTATGTTATTACTATGAACACTTGGTTTAGCACGAAACCGATGATGTCATCTCTTATATTTATCCATCTATATATATGTATACATATATATACATATATATATATATAAGCGATTCGGTATTTAAGCTGTATAGCCAGTACGCATTTAGATATCTGTTCTTTCCCAAAACTAACTAATTAAAGATCACTAAGTTCCTTGGGGTCGAGTAGATTTCTTATTAGGACTCGTTTGCTTGTATAGTTGTTGTTCCGAAAAGCTATAAACACAATTATAAACAACTGCAAGTAGCTAGTAATTTTGTTCTAAGAGTTTATATGATTGGATATTGCTATTCAGTTATTGTGTTTAGTCATTGTCTTGATGATCTACGGCTCTCGTCTTTGCTAGAGCTGATTTATAAACTTTCTCTATTTTTGCTAATAAATACTTACGTTAGTCTAGATCATTACGGCAAAAATATGCTTAATTCAGTGTAATTCCCCTCTGAAAAGCCTATTGCTGTACTATATACCTATATCAAAATAGCCAAAAAGGTAAAAACGAGCACAATGAAGGCACACCCTCAACTAGTTTGTATTTTGTCGAAAATACGATTTTTCGATTGGATAGGTACAAGTCAGAAGCAAAAATCAGACGGCTGCAATAAAACGATAAAAATTAGCTACACATCCTTCATTACTCCCTGACCTGCTTCTCCTCGGTACTGCGTAAGTGGTCGAGCCTCTTTGAATCTGCCCGATAAAAGCTACTGAATGGACAAGGCTACTATAACCATAAGAATGTTTATCCTGTACAGGTTGATCCGTTGAAAGACGGACAGTTCTCCCCTGACAGCCTCCATCTTTTTACACCTCAATTGGATGCAAGTAACCTAGTTACCAGCACTCGGTGTTGTGCATATGATTCATTTCCGTCACAAAAACATACGCTACCCGTTATCTCTCAAGGAATCAGCGTTGTTGTTTATACGATGATGAGTGTGTGACAAAAAAATAAAATGAAAGATAAACAAACACACACACACACACGCTCACGCATACATACAGAAAATTAAGATCAGATCGTTTTTGTTCACCTGTACAACATCGGTCATGACCTAAGCGCTAAGAGTGCGCGCGTAGCCAAAAACCGCGTTATCGATTATTGCCCAATATCCTTCGCGACATCCGCGACGGTTTCATCGATCCGGTACATTATGTAATTTTGGGGCTACCATTCTTGCAAATGCATACATCTTTCTGATGTTATGTGGTCTTATTTCTCTACACACAGGCAGAATATTATCTAAATTGATGTACAGCCGTCCCTCCCGTTGATGCTCGATTCGTGTTGTGGGCATATAAGTTTTCTAAGGTCAGTTTAAATCGATAGCTTCACACTATCTGTTCAACGTTGTTAAAACTGCATCGAAGGCCTTTAAGCTACTAATGGTAAAATTGATTTCGAGAGACTGAACCAAAAAAGACATTCGCACTCGGACAAAGACACGCAGCTAATGTTCTCTAATATGAGCATCCCCTATGTCATAGGTGAGTTTCTTCTCTCTATGAAACATATCTTCGAGCATATGGCAACGACCTGAGTTGCCATGAAGATTACTGTAGACGACAGTTTTTGCTGCTTTGTACCAGTCAGCCTGTCGCTTAACTAACATCTTATAACCGCTTAGAGTCCCGCTGCTACCATTAATAGCTGTTATACTTCTTAAGCCTTCGCCATAGCGGCTGTATTCTTACGTATCTGTAGCACACGATGTCAACCCACCAAAATAGGAGTTCTTCTATCCCTGAGTACCCTATCGTTCCTTGTTCTCACGGCTGTTATGGTAAAAACGCCCCTTCTACGACACTCATCATCTGCCAAGCACTCACTTCTTTTGCCCGTCAATTTCCTCTCATTCCTTTCCGTTCTATCTGCATTCACTATTCTACGCGCGTTCCTTTGTTGACTCTCCTTAAACCGCTTTACCCTACCCTCCCCTCCCCTCCCCTCCCCTCCCCTGCCCTCCCCCAGATACCCCCTGCTCCTAACCCCGGTTCACGACTAACTTTCACTTCAACTATGAGGACATGTGCGAACATCAGTGCGTTCTTCGGGAGACCTCCAGCCCAATGGGCGGAGATTTGCGATCTGTTTGAATCTGATACCTGTGAGCTTGTTAAGCCAACGGATTATCAGGCAATAGCGGCACTTGTCTGCAACAGTTTCACTATGGAACAAGGTCAAGAACGACAAAATGAGAAAAACATAAAATTATTTTTTATTTACTAACGCTATTAATATTAATTATTACTGCTACAGAAAAAAAAACACTATAGGGCAATAGCAGACGGTTGTTCTGGTCTACCGTGTTCATCATGCAGCTATTATACCAGTACTGAATGGCGGCTATTTGTCAACTGTGTATTATAGTTAATGGAGCCAGAAATACGTTGACTAGATTCGCTCTAATCTATTAGTGTTCTTTAATAATTCACACACTTCTTTACTGCTATTTACTATTATATATGAGTATTACTGTTATTATGAGTACTCTATTGTTCTATCATTATTGTTAGAATCTAAGCGCTATGTACTACGTACGACTAATCAATCCTCTTCATAATTTCATAGTAGCAGACGACGAACACTATAATAACGTTACTAAATATAGCCAAAGGTAGCTAGTGAGGTCTTCAACGGCAGGAAGAAACGGAAAGAACGAAAAACGACGCGTAATATCGCATGCTGTTCAAGCCGCAACAGCTCTGTAGTGTCAACTGAGCAAAAAGAGGATGCACAAAACTACTCAAAAAATTACAGGAAGACTTAGAAACGCTGCGAAATAGAAAAGCGGCGTTCCAGGGTGGGTCGCTGAGCTGCCGTGCTATAATCACAACAAAATGAGGGAAATACCAATACGTGAGGTAAACACGCACGGGATGGGGAGATGATAGCACCAGAGACTTGGGACCAAAAGGTCTCCGGTTCCAATCCGGTTAGCGCTTTCATGCAAATTGTGTCCTTTACTTGAAAATATATTAATGAGGTAAACAATTGAAACTTTATTCACACGGAAGTCTAGAATGGAAAATAGAGTTAATTTCTTCATGCGTCTCTAGATGTGACAACATCCTCCCCAGCCCCTAGACGTTGCCTGTGAGTCGTGGTCACCAAACATCGATTATAAGGAAAAAAGACCCGAGTCAACAAAGTCTCGGTAACAACGAAATCAGTTTCTGATCATACTTCAAACATCAGTATAGCGCTCGTTTAAATTGTATTTAATAATACAATAGCAAAGAGAAAACGTCAGCGACGTAAAAATGATAACAACAACAGACACAATGGCAATTAAATTTGAAACACTAATCAAGTTCTTATAGCGATGGCATTGTATTGCATCAAGTACTGCGATAATAATAACGTCGGTGTTTTTACGTCTAAATACCGCCATTAGGGTGAAGTTAGTGAATGTAACTTTTACAAGCCCGTTTAGTACGGTCAGCATCAGGTTCAATGAAATACAGTATACACGATTGGGCAAACAAAAAACATAATTAGAAAAAATATTACGAATAAACATAGGAACACCGGACCACGCTACTACCAGACAAAGTATGACCGATGACAATGAATCGTAAGCAGCGCCGCATGAGTCACATGCTATAAACTGAGCGCTTGTGTGCATCGAATGAAATTGATAACTTAGATTGACAATTGGCTTGGGTAATGGAACGATATGTAAGAAAAGCATAAAAGATTAGCATGACTACCATAAAATGTCCACACCTCCTATGGCCAAACGGTCGCTGAAAGCTCGAAAATACAGGCGACTCGTACAGATGCAACTCGCCCTTCGTTGCCGGGGGGCAGTGATTGATACCTGATACTATAATACTATAATCTGATCTTAGAAGATTGAAGCCCCAGTTTATTTGCGTTTCCGAAAGGTCCATTGTCGAAGTATTGGGAGCCGGGAAAATTATGATACCGGGAGAAAGCCATACATCATCACAATGTCAACCCAGCTCCACAACTGAGATTGATAAAGAAAGTTGTTTGCTATTAATATTCGAAAACTCAAACAGTGAATTCCAGTCTCGAGTTCTCATGATGTGCACCGTCGTAATAGACCGAAAGCAGTCCCGTGAGATGCCGCTGTGGCATCTCGTCCGCTGGCTGTATAGGGTCTGTTGCAGGATCCTTGATTATAACCATGATGGTTCAGTTCATGACAATAACGCTTCATAGAATCCTGAGACAATATTATATGAATTAGTCGAAATACGACACAGCGAAGGTTTGCTATCTAGTTGGTAGGTTATGAAGGATGCATAAAGAAGGTCCAGATGCAGTTATACGACTATGATACTCTAATACTATTATAAAATAGCTACTGATTCAGTTAGAGGTTCAAGACCTCATGGTACTACTAACTATTCAACCATGGACTCTATAAAATATAAAATAAAACGCTATTTCGAGATAAACATGATGACAAAAGGGATGAAGAGAGTTACAATAACAGCTATAATTATTATGTTGCTAATATTGATATACGATAAGATTGAAAGATTATGATAGGCAACTATTATATATATATATATATATATACGATTTGTATAAAATAGTGTGAAGTGACAAAAAGCCAGCGAGCGACAAAGAAAACGCGTGTAATCAGAATATATCCCATAAATAGCACCATGGAGCGAGAACCGAGAGAAAAAGGTCCTACAGCATGCCTCTAAAGGCATGTCGATAGTGATAATACCGACATAATTATTTGGATATATTGTGCCGTCGCAATAAAGATAATCGTTATCAAAGCCGTGGCAAAGTGTTCTCAATTTGCGCTTACAGACTTTCCTGATCCCGAAAAAAAAGAGCTGATATAATAAGTGAATTCGCATAATTTCGAAGTATTCAAAGTAAGCCTTATCCGGCGCAATATTAGTACGGAACACTTTTCAACACTGTTAAATAAACAAAGGGTGAATATATCCGAAATATTTCGATGAATTTCCGCCGTACTTTGCCGAAATATTGAGCGCCAATTCAACACGTTTTATTTACCAGTTTGATGTCGCACTTTACCTCCGAACAGGTGAGACGATACCAACTCACAACTGGTTCCGAATCTTCAATAATATATTAAATACTAAGTTTTTGCGGCACTTTTTATACTATGGTTACAATTTTGGGCCAGTAGTTTACGGAATGGATTTCATAAGGGATAACACAAACTCGTAACCGTTTATGTACGGCCGTAGAAATACTATTGAGTTTACTTTCTTGACCAAATGTTATTTAGAATCGCCTTCAGAGAAATTCGGATAGTTGCAACAATGACTATGAGATCTTAATGTCAAGTGGTAAGGACGTTTAGTTTTACAGACGGCAAATACTAGTATACGCCAGTTATAAATAACGCATGCATAGACAATACTATACATTTCCAACAGCTTCTGTATTCGTCTCAGGTTGAATAACGGCTACCATCAAAAAGTTAGGTAACTAAATTATGTAAAGAAATTATCTAAGATTTCTCTGAAACAACAAGAAATATGTATAATACGAACACGTGTCTAAATCCATGTCTGAAGTAAATATAGTAGTAATTTTTTTCTACTTTTTCAGTACCTACAGTTTTCATCTCTATTCGAGTTTGTCATAGATAAGTTACATTTTTATATGTTTTTTTTTTGCACAGAATGGCAACTTCGTTTAATTATAATTATCCTTACAAATGCTGTCATATTCCTAATCTATGACCTGCATTAGCGCATTGAGAAATGATTCTAGAAAGTTTGCTGATAGACCCATATTTTAGAATTAGACGCGACATGAGGTTCAGCATAGTCTAGGAGTTATTCCACCAAATATATTTATTCTTAACAGAAATATAGAAAATTAGTCGAGCAGACCGATTGCCTTCAGTGCAACACATTACTGTGGATCCAGTTAAAAACAATATGTTTTCTGTTGTACCCTGTCTTCATACGAATTTATAAAAACATGCCGTATGGCAAATCATCTGCACTGGGCGCAACATGATTTTCGAGGAGTGCAATGGATCTTGGACTCATTATACTGACTATACTGAGTAGATTTATCATGGGTTTATCTCAAATCGAACTTAATTATTAAGTTATAATAATAATAATAATAATAGTGCTTTGATGTATTTGCGCAAGCACATTTGTTAACATGCTGTGCATACTAGTAAGCCTTGATGCACCTTGATGAATTAGTTACAATAAAAAGCCGATGTTTTTATTATTCAAGTTGATTATCGGAGGCCGATGACGGCTTATTATGTCGCTGTTCACAGAAGCTCAATTAAGAGGAACTTTCAGAAAGTCGAAGCGAGCACTTGTACACACGTAACGTACGAGTGTGAGAGCAAAATGCGAGCTAATCCTGATCTAGGCTCACCGACATCAACGAACAGAAAAAATCCACCCTGACACAGTAGACATGTTTAGGTAGACTACCTTTGTATGACAACATTCTGTCTAAATTGTTTGTCTACACCTATCAGATGCGAAGAGCCATCTATCTCTATAGAACTCAGCGGACACAAATACTTACCACAATTTAATCCGTTCAGCAATTGCTTGAGTCATTATTAAACATTGGCAAACTTTTTGTCACGAGATGACGGCAGCCATTATAGAACAATGTGTCAATCTTAAGGCCCATAATAGCCTACCTGTTTGAAGGGTGCGTTTTTCGGTTTTTACATTCGTTGCTTAAGCCGTTAGGCGTTGCTTCGGATGGTGTCTATGTCCAGATTTAAAATTGGACCACCAGGTCTTCCTGCGTATTATTAATATCACCTAAAAATATGAAATTTAATAGAGCCACCTCGTATTGACGGGATTTGCTAAGGAGGTCAGTCTAAGTAGTACAAACGCATATTTGAGAAGCCTGATTGTTCATTGTAACAATTGCAAAATAGAAATTCGCTAAGTCTCAGGTTTGTGCGCCAGGACCCGATGGTTCGTTTTGTGCTTTCTATCACTGTAACCTTATTATGTAGAAAGGTTTATGTTTTCTATAGAAAGGACGAGGAGCTTATCTAACCATCCACCGGTGATTATTTTAAGTGCGTGACCCGAAAAGGCATTGACGGACTACCCTCGTCAGTCGCTAGGACTAGGTGTCTACAGAATTGCAGGCTTTTACTGTTCGTTTTTATCGCCATGGTTGTCGCACTCTACATCATCGTTTGAGAAGGAGCCAATGGTGAGGGAAGTGTGCTTTTGTGAGCTAAGTAACGATAAATCTAATAAGGCTTTACATTATATTTGTGACTCCAACATACTCCTGTCTGTGGGAAATTGGGTAACTGGTTAGAAGGACTGCAGGAGCATACACATTCTGTACTGTGGTGCAGAACACACAGCTCCGCGACGATGCGGAGGTGACGTGTTGATCTGTTAACCTTAGAAACACGTAAGGTAACCTAGGTTAAAAACCAAGTATAAGCAGAATTTGCTGCGTGCTCGAAAGAGCCAGCCAGCTGAAGCAGTGCTTCGCGGCAGTACCGGACGTAAAACTCCAGACATTCGAGTAGACGATATTAGCTATATGACGGTGTCGGGTTCGAATATCGAGGTCACCTATCGGATGTGTCAATTGCAGGCATTTTAAGCGTAACTTTTACCTACTTATAGGTACAGTGCCTGTTTGCCATGATAATTATATCACAGCTGGATTTATATAGGCTGAAAACGTTAAGCGGTCTCCATAATTTGTACAGTTGAATATTTCCCGAGAGCTCTACATCGTATCGTTTCAAAAAAATGGGTCATGAGTAATGCGAGTCGCTTGGTAAGAACGTCAGCTTGGACGGCTGAACATACATTTAGAAAGAACAAAAATTGCTGGTCCAAGATTGGCCAGAGACATGCAATACAAACAGGTGCGACCAGGTTAAGACACAAAATCTGGAAGGAATTTTAGTTTCGATTGATTGACATCCTCTACAGAACTACCAATGGGGTCTATCGGGGACCATCTGTACTTATCGAATGGTTACATACATAAACAACTGATTCATTTGTCGTGCTTAGGTTTCTTAGGCTTCTGAGCATAGATTAAAGAGACTCTAGTTATTGTAGTAAAGCCATTCATGTTACTGGATCAAACGATACTAATGGAATTACTTATTACAGTAGTGAAATGAACCTCAGAAATAGAAATGGAGAAACAATGCGAAATAGGTCAATGTCGACACAGAGGACGCGACTAAGTGAGTCCATGAAGCTGAACGGTTGCCGAAATCGTAAAGATAATGGTGGACATACTATTTGAAGACTGAAGTGTACCGACGAGCAAATAAAAAGGACGCTTCGCTTCTAAGGGAAACTGGCGTCTGCTGCACATGTGAGCCATCATCTGTAATAAAGGCGCACTCATATACGGAGTGAAGTCGTTAGAAACATGAAATCCGTCGGAAACAAAAGTTACGTACACACGTTATTCTACTGATTCGTACCAAGTTTAACCTAACTCACCCTTTGCTATACGACGTTGGCAGCTCGCTATTGCCTCGGGACGCACAATGTCGCCTGTAATTACGGCCTACATTTTTTTTTACAGCCACCTCTCTGAATTGAAGCGTACTATCCTACTGAAATGTTTGTTAATAACACTGTGTCATGTGTTACCGTTTCAACTTGATTCACCACGAAGTCGTCACCCAACGAAGCGTTGCTGGGAAGTTCTAGTTGTATGCGTGCCAATGCTGACCACGGTCCCACCCGATAATCACTCGATTATCTACTGCAGCGATCGAATATAAGGCGTCGTTGTACCTGAGGAACAAGCATGCCGAACGATATCGATGTCCTTAAGGGTGAGCGCTTGTTCAGAACACTGACTAACAATTTGTGTAATTTTAAGTGCATATATAACTCAAACGAATTGTTCAGATCCTAATTACACAGGACATACCCCCCCCCCCCCCCGATCCTTCACAGCAATCGCTTCGGCAAAACAGCTTAATTTTATACCTCTAGTATCTTAAGATAATTTTCAATTTTATTGTTCTTTGAACCCGTATTATCAAACATGATGCTTTCGTATAATATATATTTAGCTGTATAATAAACGCTATTAATAGTCTTCAACCGGTATTACACAAGAGTATCAGGCTATTTGCCAATTCGAACCTATGCGGCACAATAAATAAGGACTTTTTTTCTTTTCGCTTAACAAGCGAAATACATATGGATTATTTTTTAGATTTGGCAAATCGAACGCAATTGTTCCCAGAGTTTGGCTCTGGGATCTGGGGAAATCGGGCTGTACTTAATATACGCCAGTTCTGCTGTTCTATGGAAGTCGTGATCGCATATCGTCGATGACGTTCGTTTGACTATTAGTCTTGAATCTAACAGTAAGTCTATCGTTCATGTGATGGCCTATGGCTGTGTCCTTAGACGTGGCCAGCCACAACCCTCGGCTACCTAAAAACAAAATGTTTCAAGCTTAGATGAGCATAGAAGCTCTTCGTTTTATGCTAGAAGGGGCCAGCCACCTGAAGTCCATCATGCAAAGTGTGGATAGTCAGTGGCAAAACTTTCTTGCCGGTTAACTTATGTGACAGATCATTTTGACTTTTCTTTTCTTCGAAAAATGCATTATTGAAAAACGCGATTGCATCATTGATCTTTGGGCTCATAAGGGGCTTGAGTTGAAGGAACTTGAATGTCTTGTTTTTAAAGATCCAAGATACAATAATGTGTCGACACGTATGTCCGAACTAATTCATGTTAGCAAAGAAAGCTATATATAAAGAAGAGCTAAACTTGCGTAATCTATATGTTTCTGTTAAAGAAAGCACGCTGGTTAAGCTGAAAGATTACAACAGGACATCCATTCAAGCGTTCCAAAAGTTACTTTTATCTAAATTTAATTTTCCTGCGAACGGAATAAAGCTAGGTAAAAACAAAAAAGAAGCTAGCTATACTAAACAACATCTATACAATTGTTAATGTATGAAATTTACAGATTAACTCTGTAGTAGAGGAATAGGGGTTCAGCACAAGCTGTCATACAAAGCTGCGAATCGGGAATTTAAGGCTGGTGCCTGTTAAAAGCAATAAAGCCTTTCTAGCTTTCTAATCTCGCTTTTTGTTATTTACTAACGAGAAAGATTTAGCACCGCTAAATCCTGCGCTTTTTCGATTACTTTTTATGGACAGTCGAAATTTAGGACATAAAGCCGAAATCAATGCTGCCACTGCGCTACTTTTCTGTAAATTTAAAAATTACCTACCTTTTACTACTGGTACCAAAAAACCGTAGGCCTCTCTTACAATAGCGATATAATGGCCTTGGATATCTGCACACCGTAATCTAGATCGTCGTAAATGCAATCCATTCAGTGATTATCTTTTATTGGCCAGCATTTTTTCGGTAATAACCAAGAAAAGTTCTACTAAAAGGACAACTTTAATTGAATTATAAACTGAGCTAGGTATCTGTGAATTTGGCCATTTCGAGCGCGCAAGATCTGTTGTTTTATTTGCTTAAATAAGCCAGAATTCGTGATTTAGCATCGTTTCTGCGTCAGAATATCTGAATGTCGTTGACAGTTATAACTACTGCTAGAGAACGTTGCGCCTTTATCTCTGATTCATCCGAATTGAATAAACCCACATAATTGTGGTTATATACTTCAGTGGGGCAAATAAGTACATTGTTAGAGCTCTAGCGACTATACTCTGAGACGTTGCATAAAAAAACGCAAGCATGTCGCCAATTTAGACGGAGCGGCAGCAGGACTTTTCAGTCGATTGAATGGTAACGACTACAGAAGGTGCCATCGTATATCCACAAATTTATAAGGAATGTCAATAATAATAATAAAAAAACAGCCCTCAGTCTTGACAGGTATTCATAACAGTAGTCTGCAAGACTATATATATATATATATATGATATTGAAGATATAGATATTGATATAAGAAGATATTGTTATTTTAAGGTAATAAGTAGTAGTCCATTAAATCGGCGGGGAAATTCCGATGCGTATAAAAGTTGAACTGAGACCAAATCCTGGCTGGCGGCTTTGCAAAGAAACATGTCGTAGGTAAGTTGACATAAACCGTCAACAAAGTTCCGACCTCGTTCGTTCATCTTAGAGGCAATTGCCCTGCGATTCATGAACATTGCTGGCGTAACGGATATATTATGAAGTTTTGTTGAAGTACGTTTGAACTAGATTCAAACATACTTTCCGCTAAATGATAAATATGCACTATATATTCAGAATCCGGAGACAAGCATAATGGTTTTTTTCTCAATTACGTTGATTTAAATACGAAGCAGCTCCGTTTGGTATAACCCTATTATGTCGTTCTATTTCTATAACATGTCGGCGGCGGCGGCGGCTGCTGCTGTTTTCGCCCTTTCAAATGACTACCAAGTAATTCTATTATCATTCATGTATCTTACACACTTCCTGAGTGTTGTCTAGCTCAGAAAGCTCTTATTGCACACGCAATACCCAAGTCCAGACGTAAACGCAAAACACAAATCATCTCCTTTATTACCAATTAAATAAAATAACATGTAAAGGTTATTAACATCGTGTTGTTATTAACTGCCCAGAAATCAATATAAAGCGTAACGCTCGGACAGCTACATACAATACAGAGGAAAACTTATCTTAGCAACTTATACGGCTGTATATGTATTTCTCTTCTGTCCAATAACAGTTCGACATGTATTCAAGTCAAGCTATTTTTAGCGACAGCACTTCAAGCGCTATGGTTTTGACAGTTTTTTTTTTTTTTTTTAGAAGAAACACTAACAGATCTAAAGTCAGAAATGATCGTAGCGGACAGGGAAGATGTACGTGAAAATTCTGAGGCGATATGCACAAGTGCATCTGTTTCGATTTTTAATGCAATACCATGGATTAGAGGTTGCTTAGACTGGGTCATAAAAACTTACCTATAGTTAGAAAAGGTGGGCAATAGATTCACTTTGAGAAAGTCCGTATTTATGTTTTCTTTTGTTTTTTTTAAGCAAGTCTTTAAAGCTTAATTTCATGGGTCCAGCAACGGCGCAGAAATTCACGCTTAACTTCTACTATGCGTACCGAATACAGGCTTTCAACGTATTAAATTATTATCATAAGCGATGCCAATAACTTACATCTTGACGTATTATATATACTCAAGCAATTTCATTACTCTTATTAATGTGTCTGAACATGCGTTTTTTAAATATCAAAACACTGCGAATTATCTCCATAAATGACTATGTTTTTAGTGTAATTTAGGGTGTCAGCGATTCTGCTCTGAAGAAAAAATCACAAATACCTATAGTGGAAAGAAGAAATAAGAGAGGATTGAATTTCCGCTCTCCTAGCCATAGATGCTCATAGAGATAGACTAGCGGACGATAAATCAACGTTTTTTGTTTCACTATTTGGACTTGAAAAGTTATATGCTTGGAAGTTGCTGTAAAGTGATCTTGAAAGTTACAGTAGAAGCTACTTTTTAAAAAGGAACGCAAAGTGCGCGGAAGTCAGTAGGCTGGAACGCAGCCTAGACGTGAATTTGTGTGCGATCACTTGCTCACTTGTATCAAATAGAACGCGAGACACTTCACTTTAGGGGGGTTGACACGCTCGAATTGAGACTGCAGAATAGCTGGAGGTCGTTCAATTCAATCGTTGCAAGGTAAGTGTTTCTTTTTTAATCTAGTGCTGCGACCATAACTTTTGGCTCTGACATGATTAAATAAAAAATAATAGACCTAAATAGAGCTAAATTTGAATTGTTTCTGTGAACTATATATACTGTAGGGTATTAGATAGATAGGATCAACTGAATTCTTACATTGGATTTAGTCAATCTATAAATAAAGTTCTATGCTTCGACTAAATCCCGCAATATGAAGACAGAGAGTAAGGCTGTTCAATCAAGTTTCGTTAATTGACCCTTACGAGGACATAGACGTTCATTCAGGCTGCATTTCAAAAAGAAAAATGATACACCCACTCAGCCACCGTCTCAAGGTACGGTAACGTTGTCAAACAACGCCATTGACCGTTATAGCATGCACATATCGTAGATTTAGTAATTACCTTCGGCAATGCTCAACCAGATTATCATTTACAAGTTCCCAACGTTCCGATTCGACCAACTATGAACGGAGCTATGAAGCTATGAACGGAACGGTGTTTCGAAGCCGAAGTGTCTACGAGGCTAGCAGTATCTAAAACAGGCTTCTGTAGATGATTGTGTCCAGCTGTACTATTTAAATTGTATGAATAGATGTGTAGCTACGGTAAAGACACTTGTTTTCCTAAAACGCTTTCTTGACTGGGGCCTGCGGACATCGTTCCATAACGCACGTTATCATGCAATGTGTCGTAAGAGATTCTTACTATAAGAAAAAAACTTTTCACCTGCAGATGTCATTTCTGGCGGTTGCATTTATTTAACATAACCGTTACCAAACGCAGTGACATCTTCAATAGTAGACCTAAACCACTCAATAATCATTTTCAAAATATTCCTCCTGGAACGCGCGAATAGCCTTCTGAACAGTAGCTGTGTGTCAAGCGGTACTGGTAAATGTGCTCTCGTCAAAGAGTCGCTTAAGTACGCTTTTTACAAAAAAAAAAAAAAAAAACAGCATAAACATAATTTCAGTAAAATCCATTTTAGGCTGAGAGCAGGCAAGTTAAAACAAACCGCTTGAAAAGTGCAAAAGCCCAAAGAAGAGATTAACTGTTATAACTTATATGAACGACACAGTTATCAATTGATATTTGAAATGGTCGTTAATTTTCGCGTCAAAAATACAGGTGTTTCAAAAATGGCTTTTCGGACCCTTTGGTGAACTCCTAAGCGTTTTCAATGGGAGCTTTCCAGCTTGCCTCATCGAAACATTCTTTGAATGTCCAAAGGCCGCACAAAAACGAGCAATAACCTACGGCGTCTACTTCGAGAAAAAAGGTAATGTATGATAGGTGCACTCTACCGGTAGAATGACAAAAGCGCACTTACTCATGTGAAGCAAATGGTCGGTATTTAGCTTCGGAAAGGCTTATTTCCCAAATAGCTGCCTCACTTGACTCCACATTTGAAATCTATGAAAAAAAATACAGTATCGTTATGGACAAACAATTAAGTGTCGTGGTTTTTATCATAATGCCTATCATTAGCAGATATCAAGAAGGGATGCGGTACTGGACTGAACTATAACTACCGAAGCCAAGGAAATATTATAAAATATCGACCGGCTGATATAAATCTCCGATAACAACTGGCAGTGCCTAAATTACTACGTCATCGTTCGTTTTTTCAAAGCAATGACTGACCAAGGAACATTTTTAAGACATAAAAGCGCACTAACAGTTTACTGATCATAAATAAATTCCGCAATAGCCTTCATTGACACAACCACCGTAGATCTGCCAGTGCGATTGTAAAATCGAAGGACTTGTATACGGAATATGCTTACTACAGGTAAAGTTTATGCTAGGTGGCCAGAGCGACTGGATACGACTTATTTTTCATACCATATATGAAACTATGCCGTCAAATGTACGACTATTATTGTTGATGTCGATCTTTTTGAACAGTTTGATACCGTTGCATATAATGCCGACACGTCCAAAGACCGACAATACAGGCGCCCGTTATCGAGCAAACTGAGACAATCAGATAAGCCTACGGGCAAATGATTCGATGTTTAATAATTTAATAACCATGTAACAGCCACGAGCCTTGTTGGCATATTTGCATTTACTACATAATCTACCATAATATAGATCACTTTTGGTTAATCTCCAAACAATCTCGGCAAATTCAGTGGTAATCGATTAAACTTCGCATTCACTTAATGTTATGGTTTGTCCTTCCGGCGTTCCTCCGTATTTTTATTCGTCCTTTCACAGTACATCAACATTTACATTTCTTGCTTATCTTTAACACGAGGTACGCTTCGCGATTGTTTGCTTTCAGAGTAAATCGATCGGCTCTGTCCTTAGAGCTCAGTGAAATAAACGCTCAATTGATAAACCAACTAATGTGTTGTTCGGTAACACGTTGATTGAAATAATATTGTTTTTACCTCCTGCTGCTTGTTGTTGCGAGGGTTTCTGTAGTTAGCAGATCAGCGAAACGTCACGCCTGCGACGTCAATCGAGCTATAGAATTGTAAGTGGCTTAAAAAGACCCATGGAGAAATAATGACATGCAATTACTCTTATCGGTAATAACGTGCCTCTCGAGCAGCATATCCAGATATGAGCCTAACTGTTGTTTACATGACTTATAATCATCCATATTTTAAATAGTGCATATTTAAAATTAAGTTATTCAGGTCGTCTATTCCTTCCACTAATACAGTAGTTCGGTCTAATAATCCTCTGATTGTTCTATGACAATGAATGATTAATAGTGAATGGCTGTGATAAATGTGACGACTCTAGCAAAGACTATTTGCTTCCTATCCACTGATGTGATTTATTTATATGTTCTTCATTTGTGCTTCAGTGTGGACTCAAAATAGACCAGAGTAACATGCCGACCACGCAACACATCGGCGTCAGTTATTCTTTCCCTGTGCCTGCTTGTTATATCGTACACGGTAAGAAATACGTTTGCCAGGTATCACATGTAGTCCAATGAATTTATACAAGTGTTTCGAGTCAAAGACAAAAGAGTATTTGTTTCCACTTGAAGCTGCGCGTTGAGCGTCCTGCAATAAAAACGTCGACCGGCCACCAATCTACAGCTGTCTCAACCCAGATTTTTCTATGGTGGTATCTTAAATATACATAAAAAATGGAACGGAGAAAAGGAAACTTCTCTGCGGCTTTGATCGTGATCCAGCTGGTGCTCACCCTGTTAACGGTATTTTTCGTCAAGTATGACGAAGAGGCGGACGCTACAAATCCAAAGCACTCGTACAAGCGACCTTTTGGTGGAGCCGATCCTCAAGATAATCCAATTGAGAAATTTTATCCAAGTAGGTTTTTTTTTCTATCTTATTTTACTAGTTTGACGCTGGCAAGTATCTATCGATTCTGCTCCTAGTCAGGAGCATTACCGGCTCCAACAATAAACTTCTTAAATAATCTTCAGAATGATAAATAATCGAAAATTAGTATCAACTGCATTATTCGTAAGTTTGAAAATAAAACGTAAACGTCTTTATCACAGTTATACAGAGCTCTGTGCTAATTTCGAATAAAGCAACCAAGTAAATAAAGAAACCTTCCTTTATTCATTAGGAAGCTTTCGAGTTCTTCTTTCTCCTACTTTGTGTTATTCTTATAGCTTACTGCTTTAGCCGAAAAAAAAAAAATTTGAATTTCTAAGTGGTAACATGTTCTAGTTCGTATGCGTCAAATATTAAGGCTGATACTTTTAGCATTGTCAAGCCAGCTAATAAATACGATTATATTGTAAATAATAATTTAAATCTATAAGTTTTCAACGAGGTTATCAAGTGCTATATTCTAATCAGGTGTATTTTACTTTTACCCTACTGGCTCGGTGACCTGTAGTGTTTCAGGATATAAACGTTATGATTTATGTCGGTTTTGGCTTTTTAATGACCTTTTTACGACTTCATGGATTCACTGCGACGGGATACACCCTATTGTCAAGCACCATTGCAATGCAGACCTCTATCCTAGTGCGTGGGGCCCTAGACGAAGTCCATAACGGCTACATATCTCTTGGTGTTGAAAGGTAGGCAGACAGATCCTGAAATTTCTTCCTAAGTATATATTGGGCTCATTAGCTTAAGATAGATAGAATCTAGATACTATGTAGTTCTGAATTATGAACAAACTAATTTTGTTTTTAATGTGCATTTCGCAGTAACGGCAACTACACAATACTCTTGGCAGACTGAGGCGTCTGCTAAGAAATTTATTACGCGAACAAAACGTACCTAGCTTTATAAATGTACGATTTACTGGGTTTAGTACGCAATAGCGGAAATACTTTTATGCATTACAAAAACTCATATCTAGAATGCTTGTGCCTCGACAGCTAGATTCAGGATAGATTCGTCACGTAATAATGTGGGAAAAAAACGCCAGCTATTGGACAAAATCTAAAAGTACAAGGGTCTTCCATTTAATTAGTTTAGATGAAACAAAATATGAACCATTAGGTCTATCTACGTGGAACTTTAGATCGTATGTCATGGTAATTTAGGCACTTAACGTTTGTTGTATTTAAAACCATGAAAAAGCACACTGGAGATATAGCATCATTACTAATGTTGTGATAAAGCGAAACGCTAATATAGTATTTCTACATGCATGTGTTCAGAGAGAACCTTATACGAAGATGATTTAGCTGTTTCGACGTGCAGTGGTAGATCTGTCTGTGCTCTATCTTGTTACGCTTTGTAGTACTATATATATATATATAAAGCTATAGCGAGATTTGTAACGTTTATAAAAGAAACGATAAACGGTCAAGCGTATTGTTTATCATGTCAATGTACCGCTTATGATTAGCGGTCGACGATCTTCATGGGTTACGCACAACAAATGTCGAAGCATTTTCACAGTGGTCTATTTTCATACAAACCCATTTTTAGGAGTCGCACATTTGTCTAAATATTTAATTTGTACAACACGTTATAACGTTAAATCGAATTTTTATCTTTTTCTTAAGAAGAAGGACTTTCTAAGAAGAAGGCTTAAGAAGAAGAAGGTGGTGACAGTGTGAATAGAAAAAGAAGTCGCTAAGTAGTAGCTCATCTGGAGGCTAGATGGGATGCCAGATGGCGACCAGTTTGTTTATTCGGTTACAAGGAGTAATGACCTTTCGATTTTTTATAGTCGTTTGATCCTCTCACTGTGACTGTGGTCTACAGTGCTTCTTTCTTAGGAAGCGGTACTTAATGGAATAATCGTATCTTAGATGATGTTAGCTGGAATAGACTGACCTATCAAATATCTTACAAGGAAATACGGCATTTTGGTTCCTGCATGCTGCTAAGTAAATGCCATGTCGTAACATTTGGGTCTAACTCAGCCCGCTGTAGTCTGGATAGTAGTTCCCAGCCGACCCGACACATGACATTTCCTCTATAGGCTGTATTATCCATATTTATAGGAAGCGTAAGCTACTCGAAGCATTTAACGACACCACGACGATGTTTCCATTTGCACCTATAAATATGAAGTTTAGGTATCTATCAATTAAGACGGTAACTAAGCCCATGCACAAGTGTGCCTAGACTAGCAACCTAAATTATTCTACACGATTTATAAAACTAGTAGATAATTTTTAGCTTCTTCTATTAATAAAAATATTCTTACAGGTGGCGAATGTCAAGCTGCAGATAGCAGTTCTACAGCGAGTTTAGGATATGTACAGCCATATTTCACCATACAATTAACAACAATACCACACATTTAACGTAAGACTAGCCTAGCGATAGCACAAAAACTGACGTAAAAAACAAAAATCCCCAAATGACGGAATCGCTTAACTGAAAAGTCTCCATACAAGCTGGGAGCTTATTTTCCTGCCAGTTGTATTCCTTACGTTTTCATTTATTGTATATCTACGTTTGTATCACTCTGTATTCGTCATCTCATCATGCCGGCCTATAGCATACAATTCCAGCTAATCATTGAGGGATTCATGTTATCATGTGTAAGTACTAATTTTAATAACTGAGCACCGATACTTAATCATTCGCTTGTCCGTCTTCGCAATAATGTCCAACTATAATAGATTGTCTCACCGATGTTTCTCTTTCTAAAGAACACTACCAGAAAAAAAGAAAAAAAAAAAATGTTCTACCTGGTATTCGCCAAGTGTCTATTGCGAACATCGACTACGGTGCTCACCGCCGCTTCGTGGCGAGGTGGGTTAAACACCTACTTCGAATTAATCTAGCGATTAGGCGCAGGTTCAAATCCGGTAGGTGACTGTGATGAAAAAGGTACCGAGGTTTCATTCGCGGTTTCCGACAGAGGGCTGGGAAGCTCAAAGATGTCTAGCAACGTCTGAGTCGCCATCAACCACACGTTTTTACAAATGTTTAATATGCAAAGAAAATAATTTTCCATTGATTAGGCTAGACGTTTTATTAGCAAGGCTAACTACATTCTGCCGAACGCACTTATGATAATTTTTTAACAAACTAATTTAATGGAATAGCGGTGTCCATTGTTGAATTATGTATAAGTTGGTCAATCCGTATAGAATGGTATTGTTCACCTCAGTGTCGACATTTTGAGCCTCAAGTTAGCCACGATGTTTTTTGGTCAACTTTAATTTGAGACATGTTGTTGTCTTGACCCGCACGCTTTTGTTTGAATGAATTGAAAGTATTTAGATGGCAACCAACACACTGAGAAAGGAACTTATTGTTTCTTGTTAGTGGTTTTCTCGATGTACAAAGTAATACGAATGTACGTATATAATTATTGATAATAATAGTAAGATTAGATCGACCAGAGTATCCTATTCATAAAAAAATGTCTTGCATAATTGTCTGAATTTATTTTAATACTATATATATATATATTAATACAATACCGCGTACAATGTATGCGCAGTTAATAAATACGTCGTATAGTTTTTTATCCCACACCCTTTGTCGGTTCGGTCTGCTGGATATGCGTTTCATGGACGGAAACGAAACTAAAATAGGCCTCTGTTTCCAACAGTCACATACCATCTGGCGGGAATATTCAAACAGGCATACTTTAATAATAACAAAAACACACGGTGCTGATAAAACAAATTACACTTATAATTATTAATTTTAATTTCACAAAAACACTAAGAAACTACATATGGAGCTACAGAAGTCAGCGACCTGGTTCTCATATATCGGCTTCCATTTTAATACTTTCCCTTCAGGTAAATAATCGCTTGTTGCCATGGAAACGTCGGTTCGAAACATAAAACGAATCTAAAAATATTACGAAAAAAAAAAAGAACCGCATTATTGGACCAGCTGTGCAAGTTTATCGGTATTGCAAGCTGTAACAAATGGTAGCTCCATACAGTCGGGAAATAATTCACTTAAATGCCACACGCCTAGTATCGAGCATTTAATGATTTTTTCCTATTCTCCAATTCGTTTTGAGTTAACTAATACAATTTATTAGTAGCATATCTGCTACGCCTACTCAAAAAAATTCAATGTAGTTAATGCGATTAAATATTAAAGTAGGCTTATTTATTAAATATAGCGTACTATCCACATATGTATATTGCATTTCTTACTGTTACTGGTATCTTATATACGAAAAAGTTCGGCAGCTATCGTATTTAAGTGGAGGTTTAAAGAAAATTAAAAAAAAACGTATAAATATCTTTTATTTTTTCAGAATTATCGAAGGTTTGTTTTCATCCACCGCCGTGTTGGTGTCGTTTGGAGCTATTATTGGCAAGATTTCGCCACTTCAACTTATCGTTATGACCGTCATAGAGGTTCGTATTCATCTGCCTTAATGTGTGAACACGCATTGGCGTGTTCTCGTCCATTTGTAGCTATGTTCGCAGCTTGAGTATATTGAAAAATGGTCGAAGCACCATTTGACATTGTCCTTATAGCGGCTAGGACCAGGAAAAATGGGAAAAGTCAGAATAGTAAAATACTCTGTAATATAATTCTGAAAACGTATGTGATGAACAATTCCAGGTAATATAAAGGCACTTTATGATCGGGTTACAGGCCATTTGACAAGGTACCTACCATCAATGCTAGTGTAGGAAAGCTCTCAATGCATATGAATTAATTATTACATGTTCGTTAAAATCCTTTTTTGCAATAGGTGGTGGTATTTGCAATAAACGCACACTTGGGCATGGTCGTACTCCAAGCGGTCGATGTAGGAGGCTCAATGTTCCTTCATACATTCGGAGCCTATTTTGGCCTTGCTCTGACATTTGTGCTGTATCGCAAAGACGCTAAAATAAGTACGAAAGAGGAGTCCAGTAGGACTTCTGATATATTTGCTATGATTGGTTAGTGGACAATTTCCGCTTGTAAACAACTAACTACGAAATTAATATTTTGGAAATATATTGAAGTGTTCACATGTATTTCTTACTTAATCAAAATGTCTTAACTTTAGTAAATGTAGCAAATATAAGTAAGTTCCTGTTCTCCTTTTTCCGCCCGTGAGCTGAAGAGGATTTCACAAAGATAAAACGAAACGTATTGTTAAACCTAAATATCCTTGGTCTGTTTTTTCCGGGGACTTAACTGACGGTTCTATTACGACGTTGGGCTTACCTTGACCATGGTTGTAGGCACGCTATTTTTATGGATGCACTACCCATCATTTAATGCCATTTCGGTGGAAGGTGATGCACGACATCGGGCGGTGCTTAACACGTACATGGCGCTGTGCGGCAGTTGCGTGACTACGTTCGCGCTTTCTTCCCTAACCGATGAGCACAATAGACTGTCAATGGTACACGTGCAGAACGCCACCCTCGCAGGTAACAGGAGACATTAACCAATTGCTATCAATGGATTATTTCTTCAATGGCACATACGTGAATACCACTATTCTCGAAATGTTGCTGAAAGTTACTTGATGTAAGTTATGATTAATAAAAGCGACTTTTCGTGAAGTTATTCCAATTGGATACCATTTGAATCGAAGTCACCATGTGGAAGGACGCTCAATGGCTTTTATTATTACTTTAATTCATTTTTATAAGATTGATGACGTTAGATTTGGAAGGTCGCCATAGAAAACAGGCTAATAGATAGTAGTCGAGACTATATAAAATATGAAATTTCAATTTACGGAATATTTCTAATATTTAGGTGGCGTAGCAATAGGTTGTACGGCAGATATGATGATACACCCTTACGGTGCTCTCATTGTTGGACTTGGTGCAGGAGTTATTTCTACACTTGGATATCGATATTTGCAGGTATCTATACCATACATAGAGTCGAAATATTTGACTAAGAATGGCTAGTTCGGGATGCGGGATTTAATACAAGTCTGAGCCAGCTCACGAAACGTAATGCAAATATACGTTGCTACGGTACTCTACCAAACGACAATTGATTTGTAGGTTTGAGCAGCTCATTTTGGCTAGGATCATGTTCAAGTAAGAAGTGATTCGGAGGCTTTTCCGTTAAAGCCAATTTTTTTCGTCAAAACATAATTAACAATATATTAGTATAGTTCATTCTTCAAACGAATATGTAGGATAGACATTTCTTATATATTACTCGTTTCTATGGATCATTTTAAATAAGTACCAGACTAATTTCTTATCGTTCATCAAACTACAGACGCTTTACGAGCCTAAGAAGATTCAGTTCGATGAACGATAAACCCCGTGATGTCTGCAACCGGAATCGTACATCTCAACCGATGTTCGTACATCTCAACGATATTCCCAACAATGCAACCTAAGATCGCATCTAATGGTCATCACAATATCTTCCATTTTAAACTATTGTACGTTTACTATGAATTCGTTTTTGCGTTTGTAGCCTATGCTTCTGCGTTACCGAATTCACGATACATGCGGCGTGAACAATCTTCATGGGATGCCTGGAGTTTTCGGCGGTATCATAGGGGTTATTGTCGCTGCCAGCGCCGACTACACCCACTATAATGACCAGCTTTATGAACGGTACGATTGTGAAATAGATAGGTTCATTTGTAGCGGTGGATTTCGAACGGAAAAATTCGAAGTGTGTATATTCACCATCTCAGTTTAGACTGGTGCATACTGTGATCGGTAAATTACAATGCCAAGGTTGGCCATATTCAGCCAAAAAAGACCAGATCAAAGCATACTTCTTAACTCTAATAACCATTCGTCATATAAGAAATTTCGACCGAACGAAGATTCGACTTATATATTTTTGCACAGAAACGCTTCAAATAAATCTCATTATGAAAGAATTTTTCACTTGCCAATATAATATATATAATAATAAGAATAAAAACTGATTTGTACTAAGGAAACTATTTATCAATACCCTAATGTATCTTTCATATCTGTATATACTAGCTACCCGGCTCGAGCTCCTGTCGCTAACAGCACTGATCTGAAAGAAGCCCAACAGCTAAACACAGATCTTGAGGCCGGCCTGGGGCTATCAGGACGAGAGCAGGCCCTTCAACAGTTAGCCGCTCTTACAGCAACCCTGGGGATTGCGTTAGTTTCAGGACTTCTAACCGGTAAGATCAGCACTTCGATATAGTTGAATAATAGATTGTTTTTTTTTTTTTAATAATAGCAATTCATTGTTAAAATGCATTTTCTCAAACTGGATATACAAGATGAGTCACAGTCTGTTTATAGGCCAAATATTTCCGCAGCGTCTAAAAGGTCGCACAGTTATTATGTACGCAATCCCATAGGTAATAATAGAGCGTGTACAAAGTGTAACACGTTCTTGTGATGTTTGAATGAGCACTGAAAACTCAAGGAAAGAAAACTGCGCTAGTTTTTGGACCCAGAACTGAGACCCAGGGCAAGCCCAGAAGAATACGTTGCCTTATTTCTTCTTTATCCTTCTTATTTATTAAGGCTGAGTGTGTTTTAGAATAGTCCGAATGCGTCACAGGTCGGCGTTGTCAGCTTGTAGGCTTTTATCTTAAATCACACGCCTCATTTTCTGTTACTTTTTTATTGAAGAACTGGACCAAGCTCAATAAGAATGTTATTATGTGCAAATATTTTTAGACAAACAGCGCGTATATAAGGCATGCTTAAGGCGGATACGGTATTTGTCGTTCAGTAATGAATCATACTTTTATCTATTTTCAAATCTGACCATTAACAAGGACAAAAGCGACTTAATTTTTGTTTTATACTCGTTTTTGTTGCGTCTAGACTTTTTCGAAAAAAAAATTCTTTCTTTTTTCGTGGTTTCATGGAAATTATGAAATACTTTTTGGTGGAATCAATGTGCAGGATTCATCCTAGTGTTGCCACTGTTCAATCAGATCGAAGGTGAAAATCTCTTTGATGACGAACTTCATTGGGAAGTGCCTGAGATCAGTGAGGACGATTCGATCCTACGACCAAAGCCTCTGGAAATGCTGTCGACGCAGGTAATTAGACGGCACACGAATAGCTACAGCCAAGATCAGGGAACGGGTGGAACGAAGGTAACGTCAGAGGACGTCAACAACACAAGCGTGAAGTTTTAAGGCAGAATTTGTGGGGTTTCATACGAAGTATAGCCTTGAATTACTTAGACACAGCTAGAGAGATCTGGTGCTGTGAGTTATTATCGTCCAGCTTAAACATTACTAAGCAAGCAGCTCAGATGAACCGAAAAAAGTCGAATTACAATGGAAAAGACAGAATGAACAGACGTCTGCTCTACTTACAATATGCGTACATTCGATGTAATTGCCGGCATAATAAAAACGTTAAGTAGAGTTAAGCCAACGGGATATCGTTTGGGTATTCTGCTTATCGTACGCGGGTTTTTAGTCTAGCCTATTCTAAATAAACCAACGTATTCATCTTTTCTTCCGAAAGCTGCCAATAGTCAATCATCCTATTTACCACAATTAAAACTATATCTTTATATATATATAGATCTTTCTGGTCGAAATAATTGCACGAGTGTCTACCCATTCAACCTTGAATACACCGGTCCTATACAAAAAGTCATTAGATTCAAGTTATAAAAACAATGTACGAACGTATAGCTCTGAAAATATAGTGAGTAACAATGTGCGTATAGTAGACGGATAGTTTTTATACGGCCAACAAAGTAGACTTCCGCGCAAAATGGACAATTCAGGCAAAGTATCTCGTATATGTTTACGATCCATGTTGGTATATCAAGATGTGAGAACTGCTTTACATAACTAAATAAAGATGATCGAATTAAATATTAAGCCTGTTCATAAATTTGTTTTTCTATTACTCCGCAATATTTTCCATGTTGCTAACCGTAGAGGCGTCTACTACGAGCCAATCGAGTGGTAATAAATCGTAGTAAACAGTAGTGTATTATAACCATTCCCGAAAATGCAGACTCAGTTAGCGTTGTGATCACAGCGGTCATTTTTAAAATAAATAATAATTTAAGCCATATGTAACATGACGAGCGAATTGGAGGCAGCGTCGACGTATACGTTATTTTTAGCGTTTCTATATCACGAATCTTACTTTTAGATTCAGCAATCTTCAATATAAAGTGAAAACAGAGTCCTCTTATTAGACTTTAAAGTTCTTTAATTTCGTTAAAGGCTGTCATTATTCCGAGGGATTACTAAGACTTTTCTAAAAGTGGATATACTTTTGGCTAAGTTAAAAAAATAGATGGATAGCATCTTAGGAACGAGATCAAAAAATTGTATCATTGCAGAATACCTAGGTCCGAAGTAAATAACACATTTAACCGATCGATGATCTTTACCGTAGTTAGCCTATGTGAATACGAAGAAAATCCGGAGATATCCACTTAAAGCGCTCTTATTACCTGCTGAGCTCTCCAGTGCGACAATTTTATACGTACAAATTTTGAGGGGGTCTGATGAAGCAAAATACGTTTCAATCGTAACTGAAATCGCCGTTCCGTAGCAAATTGTAGAGGATTTTTGGACAACGTACAGAACATGGGCAACTCGCTAGCCAATTATCGCTACCAAAGCGCACACCTATCTCGACTTTAATTCAATCGTTGAGTAAATTAGACCTTATCAAAGAGTGCGTAATACGTATATGCCTTCAGAAGTGAAATTAGTAAAGGTACTAAAGCACATGCGTTTTATGAAAATAAAAGACCGACCTATGATGCTAAGTATTGGCAGGACAAATCCGAACCCCAATACAGCATACCTGGGTAGCTTCTTATAAACGCTTTTGGGCGTATTTTTGTAAAATATCACTGAGCAAGCAAGAAATCGTCGTTCGAGAAATGAGAATGATTTCGATAGCTAGATCTATTACAGCTTCGAGATCTAGGCTTGAATAGATAGGGTAATAGCCTACCATCGGCGTGTGCGTTATAGCGCAAATGCTATCTACTTCTATCCAAGTATTTTATAAAGCATCAAAAAAAAAGCCTCAAGACGACAGTGTGCGAAAAGTAGAAGTGATAGAGTGGCTCAAACAGTTTTTGAGGAACCGAATACTTAATGTGTGTCTACTTCGCTTTCACGGTATTGGCTCTAATGAATGTGATGTTCCGTGTCTACGTTTCCACGAAAAATACGAATTTAACTATAATGAGTATGCTTCTATTTACTTTGGCTAACTTAGACATGAATGTGGCCAACCTCCAGAACCGTTATCTACCTATAGATAAAAAGATGTATGTCTGCATAAAGAAATAACGCATTTTATCCTCGTAGCCATTAAATTAGCACTTTAGATTTTCATTCGTCTCATAAATGAACTATTTCAATTTACGAGATACTGTACGATGCTAATACCACAATCTCTCCATCTGACAGACATCTCTAGGACGGCTATTGGCTTTCCCTCATCTTCGATATCTGTGTTCTAGCGGAACACCACTATGCCATTAATTTCCTTCGACTCTCAAAGATTTCAATGAAATGACCCAATATATCGAAATCAATATGCACAATCCCAACCTGTTCTTTGCCTTCCTTTCTGCCAGGCTGTATTTTCTGTGTGGAACGCCGGCCACACGGAACAAAAACGTTCACTAACGTGAAGTTACGTTCTGGCATGATGCTTTATCTATGTCGCACACTGGAAGAGTTGAGAGCTATTTGCCGAGGCCCGCTGCTTCATCAACATGGCTCGTGTCACATCAGAAGTACTTCTTCATTTCGATTTTCCTCTTAGCGAATACCGTCTTAAAGTGCCACATCCCTTCTCAATGGCAAACCTTTGTAATTGTACGGATACTGGACATCGCGGCTGTGGTCAGCCTAGCGCTTTTTTATAGGATTTATTTTCTAAGGAAAATGTATGAAGGCTTAATTTCTGTTTTCGATTGCTTGGTTCAAGAACAATAATTTTTTAAATATTTTTAAAGTCGAAAAATTTCTTCCACTTTTTGCTTACGTCTGCTTTGTTCTACAGGTTTCGATAAACACCGCATCAACAGCCACAGCAAAGGTCACCACAGCATCAGCAGCCACAGCAAAGGTCACCACAGCACCAGCAGCCACAGCAAAGGTCACCACAGCACCAACAGCCACGGCAAAGGTCACCACAGCATCAGCAGCCACAGCAGCAGCAACTCAAACAACAAGCCCAAGTGCAGCAACAGCAGGACGGACTGACTACAGAGTTATAACTTTCGATTGTTTTGAACAGAACAACTATTGGGGAACGCTTGACCAGGCAGGTGAAAATAGATTGGTTTGTCAAAGCCAACTTACAGACGGAACAGCGAATGTGATGACGTGAGAGCTAAAATCGGAGATATGCATAATTTATTTGAATGGAGTACGGGTCTAGTGGACTTTAGACTTTAGAAGATGAAGAGGCTGCTGGTGACTGAAGCTTGACGATCGTAGTTTCTACTTAAGACTGTTAGGACTTGAGAATAAACGAAGACTGATGTCAGTAACTCGCGACGGGATTCAGCATTAGCTAGTGAAATCGAAAATGGTGAAGCGTTAGATATGATAATATATACATGCATACCCAGCTGAGCTAGGTAGATTATCTGTTTAGCTTTTTTGTGTGTGCTTTATTTAGATATTCCACTATGGTCTCGTCATTTTTCGATGGAGCCTTCTTTCGAGGCTGAAAATATTATGAAGCGTTTAAGATATAATTGTTTCATTTAAACCAGTGGAAGAAAGTGCATGAACAAATGATTTAACAAATATTACAATGCTACTAGATCTTCTGGATGGGATAAAACCTTCCTGGATCGACAGAATAAACTGACTGTAGAAGTAGAAGATATAGAACCTACTACCAAACGAAGAATCGTTGTCTTTCAGATGTATACCTGGAACAAAATAAAACTAGCATCCCTGAACCACTCATGGCTCAGAATACGTATCGATGAACTTGCCCATAGATCCTGGCTTGCGATAGTAATGAAGACGATTCAAACACACCCGTTGATCAGAGCTGCATGAGAAGCAGGAAATTAGGTGGGAATCTTTTTAAAAAATGCGCCGCATAAGTTATAGGGATCACTGGTTTTGGACGTCGAACGATTAATTCTCAGTACCCGACGAGACTGAATAACCTGCCGACCCAGTAACGATATTGACCCATTGGGCATTTTAGCACCATGATACACGTTTCTAATTCACATATGAACTATGAGTGTGTTTGATGCGAGAGTAAATAAGTCGTTGTTAGCAATTTTCACAGCATAAGTGTACAGTAAATCCCACTAAAGTATGAATTGAAACTACCGTAAATCCGTTTATGTTGCATCCTCATCACGATAATTTATACGTATATCTTTAATTATATAAGGCTAAAATATGCTTGGCTATGTAATGGAAGCAACGAAATGAAACTGTATAAACTTTACATTAAGGCCAGGCAGTCAATTAGAAGAACATGGGACATTTCTGTGCGTATGGCACATTTCGTCCACTGCACCATCGAATCGGTGGCGTCGATGACCCGTTTACGAGCATACCCCACAGTTCTATATATATATATATATATATATGGAACGTTAAATTGTGATTTCAACATGAACATGATATTTTATAGTCTGAGAGTCGGAAAGTTCAGCACACATTCATTGTTCTGTGTTATTAGCTTTAGTCAGTCTATCGTAGAGTGCTACATTAATATATGTAATTAGGTGAAAATTGTATTTATTTTAACTACGTGATGATCTTTTTTTTGTCTTTGTAACTTGCGAACGATGTGTTAAGTTGAAAACAAATGTGTAACAGGGCTAAGTTTTATGACGAACACACGGCTGAACGCTCCTTGTATCGTTCTAAGTAACATCATAGGTTTTACATTACTAAGGAACAACGGGGAATATGAATGCGTTTTTCTTTTAATTATCGTAATTCGTAACGTAAAAGCTAACTTATTATGTTATCATAAAAGAATCACTAGAAACTATTAACTTGACGTTTTTAATCTAGATAGTAACAGCTCTACCAAGCCTTTACCAAACAGTATTGTAATCAACCTGTATTTCTATAACATGTAGAAAGTATATCAGTGATCTACCGACAAAGAAGGATTCGTCTATTAGACATACGTGTAACGCTTGGCTCCGAATGTATAGAAAGCACACATTTGGTAAGTTTAAGTTCGAATACGTATTTTTCATTCCCGCCGCGAACAAAACAATCTGGTTGATAGTTAGTAACAATGATGCAATCATAAGAAAAGGCGAAGTTCAACATGATTGGATTGCAAGTACTTTTTGTCTATATTATACATGTATTAAAACGGTGGCAAAAACCCCTCTGGCTTCCACCATCGTTGACTAATATATATAGATACACACACATCAATCGATAGGATCGGACCGGTTATCTTTTGCTAAATACTTTCATTTCAGTTTCGTGCAATAGATATAGAACGGATACATGATTGATGAGGATAATATTGATGGATTTTGTATACTAGTCAACGAGTAAACTGGAAAGGATGCTGTTTGTGGCTATGTTATTCTATGCACGTATTCCAGGCTAGGGGAAAATGAATGGAGACGAATAATAACAGCAAAAACAAATAATAGCATCATAGTAAATAAAGGAAAAAATCAATGTCTTCTAAAAGTAATATCCGTAACCAAAAACTGTGTGTTTCTTTTCGGCCGACGTAGTTGTCTCTATCTACTTCACAGGATCGCTTGAATACAATGGCGCTACATTTCAGGTAAGAACATTTTCCCTCACTGACCCTGAATCTAGAGTGGCTCACAATTTCCGGCCCTGGG